CGAAGGAAGGCCCCAGTTCGCCGACACGGAAGCAATAACTGAGTAGTGGGTATAGAACGTATCGTCCTGAGTACCCTTCAGCTCATCGGGAATGGCACCACCAAGAAGAACACTAAAGATCTTGTTGCTCTTGGGATAAGTGTCATCCTCATCAAAGGTAAGCAGGATCAGGGTGTCATCCATGAAGTATGAGTTGTTGAGCAAGGGCGCAATCCAGCTTCGCTCCCATTTGGCTCCGAAGGTAATGTTGGTGTCATGGGCGTCGTTGGTCATGTTTGGAGTGATAAATGCCCATTGAGGAAGTTTCTTGTTGGCCAGGTCGTCCTCAAAGCTGGTAAAGTTCTTGATCTGGCGCAAACGAGTGCTGTTCTTGGTGACAGAGTCATACAAGACCAATGGGTTATGCTTGCGCACATAGTCATTGGCATAAGTCTCCTGGTTGGAATAGTTGAAACCTTGGAATCCGGGATAAGGTAAGTGCTCCTGATACTCTCCCCAAGCAATGTTTTTAGTATCCAGGAGATCAGCGACAGTAGAAACATTGGCAGGAATCTGGTTGAAGTTGTCATTGTCCATGCCAAATGTGTCGCCTCCAGCAGCAGCGCAGTAGTTTGGCTCTGAAGGGTGCGTAACTGCATAGAAATTGGTGCTGTGGGGTAAATTAGTTTGAAGTTCAAATCGTGAGCAAATGGCCGATATGAGGACTTACAGCAGGATCCCTTGCGAGGCCAGCCATTTCATGTTCTCATCCGCCGCAGCATCCTCGTAGTCCTTCTGAGGTCAGCTCTGAACAAGATTTTCTGATTGGTGAGGTGATCACATACAATATTTTCAAGCCACACTTGGAAGAAGCGATTGAATGCAACACCCTCAACGTTCGAAACTGGAGAGTAAGGCTGGATGGAGGCTGCTGCAGATTCTATCGCAGAAAGAGAAGGCTCCTTCTCAGTAGCCGTCTGAGCATAGGCCAGAGAGGCAGCGACAAGCAAAGTTGCGATGGGAGACTTCATCTTGAAGACCTGTTTGCTGTGTACGGTGAGAAGACAACGAGGCAATGATCAACAGGGAGAAGTTCTCGATATTGAGATGGTCTGACAGCTTTATATGTGGGCAAAGCAATCAACGAACTAGCACGCGCGGTCAGCACGTGTTAAGTCAAAAGCCACAAGGTATCTTGGCCAGAGATGACAAGCTACTGAGAAACCAGAAAATAGAAGGTGCCAACGACCAAGTAGATGTAACCACGCGGCCAGCAGAGCTCGTCTGATTCGACAGGCAAAAGTGAGAATACAATGATGATGGCTATTCACTGATCATAATAAGGTAATTATTGATAACGATTCACTGTTGTCACTTCCGAAGTGGTCGACATGCGACATGCTTGATTGAAATGGCCAAAGCCACAGATCAACTAATTCACAGTCAAGACATCGCAAGTGGATCTGCTGAGGCAGGGCCGAGATGAATTAATACTTATCATTGGGCAATCAATGGCCGGGGTTAAGGCTTAGCGTGACTTAGCCTGGGCTGACCATGTTCGAGTGGAGACTCCTATCGGGGCAGAAGCCAGCACGTGCTTGAATTGTTGTCCCTCAGAGGATACAGCAACGAACTACAAGGTACCTACGAAGTACATAACCTTGGATATCTTGGAGCCTTGGAGAGCAAGAACAGCAGGATTTGAAGTCCATTACGGTGGATACTCTGTGAGTCAAGCTCCCATTTTTTGGTGATAAGGTAGTATGGTCTTGTGCCTTATGGAGCCAGTGTTACATCTCGGCTAGGGTAATCGAGAGATGTTATTGCTTCTCCGTCTGACTGCTCCGTATCAGCAACTAATTATAAAGACGGCAGCGGAAGGAATTGTCTCGGGAGTATTTCATTCTCCGAGCAAGCTATTTCGAAAGTTTCATTCGACTGCTTCTTTACGATATAATTCAATCCCTAGTCTGTACGTAGGCTTGTAGTAGATCTATGGTGCTGGTTCTTACGATCCTGTGTCAGGTCATAAGCACTGTTTACGTAGAATTTCCGGGGCTACGAGACTCTCAACGTCAACGAGGCATGTAATTCATAAACGGTGAATGGGTTTACGTACCTTTCGGTCGTTCTTGAGCAGCAGTGAAATAGAAGTGCCGGGCTGAAATTGATCACATTGGGATCTGTCTCCTGAGAAATTGAGAAGAGCATAAACAATCACTGTGTAAGCTCCATCAGTTTCCAGGAATCTTTGGACCATTTATCACAGTTAATCTGGCAGGCATCGGAATCTACCTATTCCACGCGCGTTGAACGTCCGCATCTGAGGCGGAGAGCTCTACAACCTAATAAGAATTGATGGCATATCGACCAACGGGATGCAGAAGTAGGTGAGAAGGGAAGTTAAATGCTTTCTTCGGAGTGAGATAATCTCGCAATATATTCATTCGAAAGAAACATACTGTATCGATCCAGGCTGGAAGCCAAGATCCTCAAGCATCCAAAAAAAAGAATCATTACACTGCTTCACGTGATAAAGGACATACTCCCCAACAATAATGTTGGCTCCACGGCGGAGTGTCTGTCTTTTGTTTAGGTCGCTGTCGTAACACGAACGAATGATCTGACCGATTAAGTCACGTGCCTTGTTTCAACCTCGGCACTTCCCAATGTCCGTCTGGGGGAACCGACCGACGCATTGACTACGTACCACATTAATCTGCAGTCTTTGACTTGTCACTGTTTTCTCCCTACTTCTTCCTAGAGTAATACGTACACGATGATAGTACGATGAGCTCAACAAACTTTGCCGCTGCTCAGGAACGAGTCTTAGAACGCCGCCGCTTGCGCGAGGCCGAAACTCGCAAACGGCTGGCGGAACAGCAGCGTGCATCACCGCTGAACCATCCAGCGCTCAGCCGACTACCGTACCCGTTGAACAGAATCCCGCAGTCCGGTGTCACGTTATGGAACTCCATCAAGGGACGAGAAGGAAGCAGACCTGCTTTCCGTGTTGGTCAAGTGGATGCCGAACTCCTCGATGAAGAGTTGCTGGGGCTGCTTAAGGGGCAGGTTGGAAATGCTTTGAAGTACTTCGGGGTATGGCCTCATGTCGCTGCAATTCCAGTCGCCTATCTCAGTATCACTAATTATCTTGATGCTATGCTAGCCCCAATTACGGGAAGACTGGTCTCACGAAATCCAATTCGCCCTCCGTGCAATTCTGTTCAAACTTTCTATATGGGATCATAATGCCTCCTACGGTGCTGCCCTCCAGGGACTGCGATACGTCGATAGTCGCAGCAAAGGGCCCGTCCATTCTACCCCCACAAAATGGCAAAAGAGCCTATATGGCTTACTCACAGTTGGTGGTCGCTACGCCTGGGAGAAGTGGGAGTCATGGTTGATTGGCCAAGAAGGCGGTTATGAAGAGGTATGATCTCGAACATTTTTGTTAGAAATTATGTGGACTTGTGCTGACTGAAGCAGCCATCGCGGGATGTTCGAATGCTAGCTCGGCTCACAGATTTAGTCTCTACCACACACTCGATCGCAGCTTTCGTTTCATTCCTCGTCTTTCTGGTGAACGGCCGATACCGGACATTAATCGACCGAATCCTTCGCATACGCCTTACCCCTCCGTCAGCTCAGTCTGCTCGCGAGGTGTCTTTTGAATACCTCAATCGGCAACTTGTATGGCACGCCTTCACCGAATTCCTTCTCTTCCTGTTGCCTCTTGTTGGAATCAGTAGGTGGCGGCGTTGGTTATCTAGAGCATGGCGGAAAACGATATCTGCCATCAGATCGAGGGACGACGATGAAGATGAAGTAGAGAAGCGGGGAGAATTGGCGTTCCTTCCAGAGCGAACATGTGCTATATGCTACAAAGATCAAAATCCTGCCTCCACTTCGGAAAACGATATCATTGCAGCGTCGGCCGGGGGTATCGTCGGGTCTGCACAGACAGACATCACAAATCCTTACGAGACGGTCCCTTGCGGCTGCATATACTGCTTCGTTTGCCTTGTGCAAAAGGTGGAAGGAGAGGAAGGAGAAGGCTGGATTTGTTTACGTTGCGGCGAGATCGTCAAAAAGTGCAAGCCATGGAATGGCGACGTCCTTGAAGAAGTTCGACCGTCGACAACCCCCGGAAAAATTGTGGGGTTCGCTATGGATGAAGATGCAGTTACTCAGGATTCCGTATCTGGCCAAGGACCAAAAACTCTTGCCGAGGAATTAGGTGCCTCGCAAAAAGTCGGTCAGGACGAGGCATTGGACCATTCTGACCAGTGGTCTAAAGCAGACGTGGATGAAGAGGAGGCCGAATTGGACAAGGAAGTCAACGAATCTGCGTGACACATACCATAGACTCTTTTCTGTTCACTTGTGAGCTTTGTGGTAGCTCGCAGGCTATATATAATCTGCGACTACTGGGTACATAACAGGCAGCGTGCATGATCATCCCGTCCTTGTGTGTTAGTTTAGAGACTCCATTCCTCAGTCATAGATACCCAGAAATATACCAAGCCTAGTGCAAAGATTTGTCTGTACTGTCCCACAGCGTTTATACGCAATTCAGTGTTGAATGACAAGACGGGCAGCTGAAGTTTGGAGCATGCTATTACTATGAAATTTGCAGTCTGATCGATCTACCGGGCCAGCTTATGCGCCCCTAAACCAACAAATCACAGCTCTTGAAATCCATGCAATCAACCGAAGCTAGGTAAAGGCAGCTGAGAAATGATTCTAAATCTGCTGCAGATGATTGACTGATTCCACCCCGCACCGGAGTGTTGGCCGACCCCACCAGCGGAGAGAGTATCCAACTCCGATCTCTTCAGCTTGAGGGGTACAAGTAGACGTCGGCAACTCGGATTTGGGCCGCACTTCATATTTGGGTTTCTGTATGGTTGCCATGAGTTTACTTTTCTAGACAAGTTATATACTCCATGCCCTATTCTTTTCCCACAACCTCGCGATCGACTGAGTACTTGACTCATACAAAACCCTCCTATCGCACCATGGACTCCTCTACCTCCACGTCGTCCAACACCCAGGGCGAAGCCAAGTATATCAACTTCCCCAGTCTTCCTGACGACGCAAAGCATGAAGATGGCACCCCTGCGCTGAACAGATATTCTTCTTATATCACTCGGAGCCATGACTTTCCTGGTGCTCGGGTTTGTTACCATCACTGAGCTGTTTATGAACTGTGGGTGCTAACAATCTGCTCTTGTATGACTGAATAGGCTATGCTTTTTGCAGCGGGAATTCCGGATCGCGAAGCGATGGCTAAGAGTCCACAGGTGGGAATTGCCAGTGTCTGGTGGGAGGGAAATCCTTGCAATATGCACCTGCTGGACTTGGGCAAGACGGTGAAGAAGGCCGTTACGGATCAGGGCATGACCGGTTGGCAGTATAATACCATTGGAGTTTCAGATGCCATTTCAATGGGTAGTGAGGGTGAGTGTATTCAGGACTTGAGGAGCATTGCTACAATGTCTGCGTGAGACGTTCCTGACGTGTATTTACAGGCATGAGATTTTCTCTCCAGTCGCGTGAGATCATTGCAGACAGCGTCGAGACCGTGACTTGTGCGCAGTATCATGATGCATGCATTGCTATTCCTGGGTGCGACAAGAATATGCCTGGAGTGGTGATGGGTATGGCGAGACACAATCGGCCTTCGCTTATGATTTACGGTGGAACAATTCAAATTGGATACTCGAACCTGCTGCGAAAGCGGGTCAACGTGTCAACTTGCTTTGAAGCGGCTGGTGCCTATGCCTACGATACTTTGCGTCAACCGGACGATGGGGGTGACACCAGTAAAAGCAAGGACGAGATTATGGATGACATTGAGAGACATGCTTGTCCCAGTGCGGGCGCATGTGGAGGCATGTTTACTGCAAACACAATGGCCACGGCGATTGAGTCCATGGGCCTGTCCCTACCAGGGTCATCATCAACGCCTGCCTCGTCTCCATCGAAGATGCGAGAATGTGTTAAAGCGGCAGAAGCCATCAAGATCTGTATGGAGAAGAACATTAAGCCTCGGGATCTTTTGACCAAGCGCTCCTTCGAGAACGCCCTCGTCATGACGATGGCTCTGGGAGGAAGTACCAATGGTGTCTTGCACTTCCTTGCCATGGCTCGGACGGCGGATGTGAACCTGACCCTAGATGATATACAACGGGTCAGCAACAAGATCCCATTCATTGCTGACTTGGCCCCCAGTGGGAAGTACTACATGGCAGACCTGTACGATATTGGAGGGATCCCGTCTGTGCAGAAGTTGCTGATCGCAGCGGGCCTTCTTGACGGCGACATCCCCACGGTCACCGGCAAGACCTTGGCTGAGAATGTTGCATCTTTCCCATCTCTACCTCAGGACCAAGTCATCATCCGCCCCCTGGACAACCCAATCAAGACGACTGGCCACCTGCAGATTCTACGTGGAAACCTGGCGCCTGGTGGAGCGGTGGCCAAGATCACTGGCAAGGAGGGCACCAAGTTCACAGGCAAAGCACGTGTTTTCAATAAAGAATTTCAGCTCAACGATGCTCTGACCCAAGGCAAGATTCCTCGAGGCGAAAACCTGGTGCTCATCGTCCGCTACGAAGGACCCAAGGGTGGACCAGGCATGCCGGAGCAGCTCAAAGCGAGTGCGGCGCTGATGGGAGCTAAGCTCAACAATGTGGCCCTAATCACAGATGGAAGATATTCAGGGGCTAGTCATGGATTCATCGTGGGTCATATCGTCCCAGAAGCTGCGGCCGGAGGACCCATTGCCATTGTTCGCGATGATGATGTGATTACCATCGATGCGGAAACCAACACAATAAACATGCATGTCTCAGATGAGGAAATCCAGCAGCGACTGAAAGAGTGGAAGCCCCCAGTGCCTCATGTCACACGTGGTGTACTCGCCAAGTATGCAAGGCTGGTTGGGGACGCCTCTCATGGTGCAATGACGGATCTGTTCTAGGTGCTCCCTAGGTTACGCACTTTATTCTGGAAGGTTCAACTTTCAGAAATAATCTCAACCGAGAAATTATTTTGATGATTGACGAAAGTCCAGTGTAATGGTCCAGCCATTGGTGATGCTTCCAACAAGCACAAGTCGTCCAGATACGTATTCTGAAATGGTCCGTGTTAGGTAACAGGCCATGTCATTTTCTCCTCACTTCCCGAGTTGTTTTCATCCTCTGAGCTCGTGCTCTCGTGACACCTCATATATCGACCAAATCATGATCGCGATTCATAAGCATGCTTTCTACCTCCAATGTAGATAGATGATCCAGTCTAGAGGATCAAGGGGAAGCTGAAAGCACTACTATCGCTGCTAGTCCACTAGTGCCGCCACGCGCTGCAGGCTGACGCCATGAGTGGGCGAGAGTGGATGATTCATCCGCCGCCTTTCTGACCGCCACAGGTGCTCATCCTGACCCATCTGACAGGCTAAACATTCTGCAGTAATCCGCCTTGTTGTACTTTTGGGTGACACATTGGGCAATCATTAACTAACTATTCCATTCATCGAATTTCCGGCATTCCGGACAAGCAAAGGAGTCTGGATTGTCACTCTCGCAATCAAGAAGCATATGCTTATGCCTGCGTCGGGTTCTTTCCGTATTTGTTGAGGTATGTTGCAATTTTTGTCGCAGAACTTTGTCATCCGTCACATTAATGCTGTATCAATATTATGCGTCAATCTGCGCCGACGGTACTGTCCTGACACTCTACCCAGGATTTCTAGTGTTCTCAAAAGGGCGATAAGATTCAATGCATGGCACGCTGATAACTATCTACCTAATACCTTAAATCAGTCCGGCGCTCTTTGTTCGCAAATTCGCACCGAAATACCAAGTTGACGGCAAGCAAAGTCAAACGGACCTTGGGGGCAATCCAGGCGATCCTTCACTGTTGTCTTGGCTCAAACGGTGGGGAGTTATCATATCCTTCCGGTGCCGCGGTACGTCTAAGAACACTTTAAAGGTGAACGTGTTGGAATTTGGGTGATCATTGGTCAATTCCTCAAACGCCCTCACTTTGGGGTAACGTCGGGGCTCTCCACTTCCCTTGCCTCATGGTTCTTGTTTGCGACACTCGAGGCACATCGATCGGTTCCATCCTTCCTGCTCCATCGTAAATTTTTCTGGGTCGATCTCGACCGCCTCGTCGCCTCATTATTTACCCATCAAGTGGCTATTCGCCAAGGAGGATCCATACTCGTCTTCTTGACGCCCAAATCGCATTCCAGAACACATCCACGTCTTTCCGGTTAGCTGGGAGCCCCGTTTTGATCGGCTTTGTAGCTGGTGCTGAGTAACTGTGGGCCTTCGAAGGTCGGTGACTGACCGCATGAGCCCCCAAGGGCAGGGGGATCTCTGGACTCTCGCATCTGGGCCCGATCGCCAGCGCTTCTGATCCAAGGTATATTTATATCTGTCGTGCACCTCTCACTCGCTATGGGCTCTATTGGTACTTCTTTGTCCTCACCTCCCTCCCGCCCGGGTCTTTCGAATACTGGCGCTGCTTTACAGCTCTGGGAGTCGGCCTCCGCTGTTTTCTCGAATCCCACAGCCCTCCTTTCTTTTACTCGCAACTTTCAGATCCTTGATCAGGATGGAATATTGAATTGGGGGAAGGTTGCTTTCTTGACCACTTGTATCATCACGATGGCCGGCTGCGGTTTCCTTTCTTCATTGCTGCGGCGCAAGGGCTCCAAGCGGTCCTCTGGCCGCAAGCGCTTCCGCCGTGGAATTCAGAATGACGACTCGAAAACGTCGCCAGGGACCACCACTTCTTCTGAAGAGGAAGATTATGACAGCAGTGGCTCACTTCATCACGGCACGGACGCTGCTTTGCCTCAGGAAAAGGTGACGCACAAACATCACGAGCAGTCGGCGGACGGTTTGTTCCTCACTCACTATTATGGTATTGTTCCCTGCTGACAATACATCAAGCTCTCGCCACAGATCCAGGTATTTTGAAGAAGCGTTCTTCCTACCTCTCTTATTCGACATCCATCGCCACCTATCCATCGATCAGAACATTCTTCAGTCCACATCCACATATGGACAAACTCCCAACCAAGCCTACACCCATACCATTACTGGTTTTTGTACACGGCTTGGGCGGCTCGTTGGCTCAGTTCAGTCTCTTACTAACGAGTTTAGCTAACGTTGGTCCGTGTTTTGGAATTGACCTGCCTGGGTGCGGACTATCGACATTTGCTCCCACGGACTGGGACGCTTATACAGCCGAAGCGTTGGCGGAACTACTGTTCACAGCTATTGAACAACATCGCGACCGGGAGGCGGGCCAGAAGGTCGTTCTGATTGGTCATAGCATGGGGTGCTCTCTTTCCGCTTTGTTGGCATCATCCGCGTCGTCGATTGGGTCAGAGCTGAAAGAACATATTTTGGGACTGGTCGCTATCTGTCCTCGCGCATCCCCCCCGACCCCCAATGAAGTCGCGTCATACCGTCGCCTTCTCAGAATTCCAGAAAGTATCTTTGATATGTGGCGCTATTGGGACCGACGTGGCGGGCTTCACAGTGCAAGTGTGAACCGATTAGTCGGCACCGATGCGGACCCCGATACAAGGGAGCTTCAGGTGCGCTACAACAAACAAAGCAAAACTCCTGTTTGGAGGCGTATGGCCTGGGGAACTCTCCCCACCTATAATAAGGACGGCAAGGCGATTGGAGGTATTCCAGGAGAAGAAGTCTGGGCAGGAGTCAAGACATCTGTCCTCCTTGTTGCGGGTGAGTCTGATGCAGTAACCAAGCCTGCGGAACTCCAAAAGCTTCTCAAATTCTTCGGTGAAGTTGGACCCCATGCAGAGGCTGATGGAAGCGCCATTATACCCGATGCGTCCGAAACTCATGATACAGTTTCAGCGGCGTATGATCGTTTTGCACATGAAGAGGAATATGGTCTCGAAGCACAAACGAGTGAGAAGACACTATTCGATGATCGTCGAGCCTCGAGTGAAAAGAAACGTGCTGTCAAGACAGTCATTCTTCCTGGGCCAGCTTCTCATGCTCTTCTTTACGATCGTGCGACATATCGCACTCTGGCGGGCATCATCCAAGACTTTCTCTCGCAACACATTGACGAACGCCTGAGTCTTGGATGGCAGTTGCAGTACATGAACACCTCTGGCAAGTGGGATGTTAAAAACCTCGCCAAATGGAAGAAAGTCACACCTGTGTCTCAACGAATTGCGAATACCTTTGTCGCGCTTAAGATGCTGAGAGAGGTCGATGAAGAGCACAATCCTGTGCTGTTCTCGCAGAAGTACCGCGACCAAATTTACGCGGTCATTGATATCAGCTACGAGAACCCGGTATATAATCCTGCTTCTCTCGAAAAGGGAGGCATCCATTACCAGAAGCACCCCACAGTATCGAAGATCCCGCCGACGGCTGACGAGGTTCGGGATTTCATTGCTTTGGTAGATCGGCTTCAGAACGAGATCACCGAAAAGATGAAGAAGTCCGGTAACCCTGACGGTCCCAGGCCTGTGGTTGGAGTGCACTGCCACTATGGGTTTAATCGAACCGGCTTCTTAATTGTCAGCTACTTGATTGAACGATTGGGCTTCAGAGTCCAGGATGCCATTGATGAGTTTGAAAGGCAACGACCACCTGGAATTCGGCACGGACATTTTATTGATACTTTGTTTGTGCGATACTGTGTTGGGCTCAAGAGGGCGCCTACACTGTAATGTCTTTTATTGTACTTTTTTCTGTGGCAAGGGCGTTTTGTGGTCTCTTATAGATGGATATGGGTTTGGTTGCATTGGATTGACGAATAATGATTCCGTGACAGAGTGTATATTAGCCATTTCAGTGATCTAATGTTTGTCTCTTAGCATTCATGCTTTCATGTTACGCAGGGATTTACTTGAAGTCAATTCGGACACAATTGACTGCTTACTCTCGATGTTCTCGAATACCTTGAAGGGTAGTCTGCAAACGTTGCATAGTCATTAACAACACTCGGTTCTTACTTTCGTCGTACGCCACGGCATCTATGAAATCAAGAACAAGCCTTTTGACAATAGCCGGAATTCCGTTGTATTTCTCAACTCTCGAGTCACTGGAAAAGCCTTAGTCGTGAGAAGGGAGACTAGGCTTTTTCACTCCCTACCACCCAAGCTTTGGCCGTAAACTCTTATGCTGTCAGCCTGCTTCGGCCTTACCCCAGGTTACATTGTCATGCTACACTTCGGTCACGGTCGATCCCGCTCAGGCTTTATTCTTGCGTTTTAACCGGACATTCAGCCGGAACTCACCCCGTCTTTTGTCCGCAGCAGACTATTGGCGGCAGCATCCTGTCAAGAGCTCATTTGTTGTCTCGTGATTCTCAGTGATCACCACTCCAGTGTCTCGAATACGTTAAGCCCCGGACTCCGCAAAGTCTCGCCCCCTGCTCTTTTATCCCGACTTTGGCTAGGCAACGCCACATCTACTCATTATTGGAAAGGAGCACATGGGGGGACATGCAAGATTAGTTGCTGTCCACGATGCGGGTGAATAATATAGCCAAAATGATGGCAGTATTGGGGTATGAATACTCCCATCTTACCCTGTCAACTTCTCGCTGTTGGTTACTGCCTTTTTCCATTTCTATCATCTGATACGGATCGCCTTGCGAAGAGACAGACGATTGCAACGATCATGGGTGGTGCCGCCGATTCGTCAGCAGCGATGGACGCTGCAGCGCAGATGCGCAAAGCTGCTCTCAAGGGCTCCTCTGGTATGGCAGGATTGGTTCAAAATCGGAAGGTCTTCGGAATCGCCATGTTTGCTTGCTTGGGAGGGTACGTCGATTCCTTATTCTACTTCTAAATCCGCAGGTTAGGCTGATTGTGCAAAAGCCTTTTGTACGGTTATAACCAGGTGAGTCGGGAATATTAGATACGAGAGGTTTGTAGGCAACGCTGACGTTCTATCTTTCGTGAACAGGGTGTTTTCTCTGGCGTCTGTGAGTCGCTGAATTGCCATATTCAGGATAATATGCCATACTGATGTTCATCACAGTGACGATGTATTCATTCGAAAAGCATGTACGGGTATCCTTCCTATTGTCAACCTGACTATCGCTGACATGGTCTCGACAAGATGGGCGACGCTGTTACCAATCAGACGAAGAAAGGCTGGCTGACCGGTACGACGGAGGTTTTCTATGCTTGCTACAACGATTGACTAAGACCTGCTATAGCTATTCTCGAGCTTGGTGCTTGGTTCGGTGCATTATACTCTGGTCTCCTATGCGAAAGAATCTCCCGCAAGTATACCATCTTGGCGAATGTCGGCATCTTCTGCATTGGCGTCGTGATCCAGACAACGGCTGCAACCAAGGGTGGGAATTCATCGCACATCCTCGGTGGCCGTTTTATCACTGGTATGGGAGTAGGAAGGTATGCATTTTTCTCAAGGAAGAAGTTCGTTCAACCGCAGGTGCTAACAACGTGGCCTCCTAGTCTCTCCATGAGTGTCCCCATGTACAATGCAGAGGTATGAGCGGAACCTGTCGATAACAGTGATCTGGCCTAATGCGCAGCAGATCGCGCCACCGGAAGTCAGAGGTTCTCTGGTTGCACTGCAGCAACTTGCCATCACCTTCGGAATCATGGTAAGTCTGATGATTGATCCTTCCTTGTCCTTGTCGAGACACAGACATTAATCGATATTCCCGCAGGTTTCTTTCTGGTTGGTTCATATCTTCTACCAACGACTTTCTTCCCTGACGAGTATAGGATCAATTACGGCACAAATCATATTGGCGGCACGGGCCCAACTCAGAAAGACGCCGCATGGCTCCTACCACTTGCCTTACAGCTGGTGCCGGCCGTTATTCTTGGAGCAGGCATGGTCTTCATGCCATTCTCACCACGTTGGCTTATTCACCATGACCGAGAAGACGAAGCCAAAAAGGTCCTCATGAGTCTTCGTGGCCTGCCTGCCGACGATCCACTTCTGCAACTCGAGTTCCTCGAGATCAAAGCCCAGAGTCTTTTCGAGAAGCGGACCGAGAAGGAGAAATTTCCTCACCTGGAACGAACCAACACTTGGAGCTATATCAAGCTGGAGGCTGCGGGATTTGCTAGCCTCTTCACTAGTTGGCCGATGTTCAGACGTGTCATGGTAGCTACAGGTAAGTCGCACGGCCAACTGTTACGGAACTTCGCCTGCTAACTTTCATAGTCACCATGACTTTCCAGGTAAGCATATGAACCTTGCTCGAGTGAGCCTAGCGCCTAACCAACGGATATAGCAATGGACGGGAATAAACGCAGTGCTCTATTACGCGCCCTCGATCTTCCAACAGCTCGGTATGAGCAGCAACACCACCTCGCTCCTTGCCACCGGCGTGGTCGGTATCGTCATGTTCATCGCAACAGTAAGCCGTAATCTCCAAACATCCACTTTACTCCTGTTTTGAAAGGGGGAAAACACTCACCCGTCACAGATCCCGGCTGTTATCTGGATCGATAATCTCGGACGCAAACCCGTCCTGGTCGTCGGCGCCATCGGAATGGCAGCTTGCCACTTCATCATCGCGGCTATATTCGGCCAGAACGAAAACCAATGGGACACGCACAAAGCTGCTGGATGGGCCGCCGTCTCTATGGTGTGGTTGTTCGTCATCCACTTCGGTTACTCATGGGGTAAGCGGCTTCCCATCTCCGAGAGAAGATTCAATTACTAACCATAAACCTAAGGACCATGCGCCTGGATCATCATCGCTGAGATTTGGCCGCTCAGTGTTCGGGCAAAGGGCACCGCGCTGGGCGCTTCGGCAAGTAAGTACTTTCTTTCTCCTTGGTATCATATCTCGGCTCTGACGCAGACTTCTTTTCGCGCCAGACTGGATGAACAACTTCATCGTCGGTCAGGTCACGCCCGATATGCTCCAGGATATCAGATACGGGACGTACATCTTCTTCGGCATAATCACCTTCCTTGGGGCTGGGTTCATTGCCTTCATGGTCCCCGAGACAAAGCAGTTGTCTCTTGGTGAGTTTCTTAATCCTGTAATCGCCGAATGTGGGGTATTCTAACGAGCTTACAGAGGAAATGGATGTTATCTTCGGCTCTGAAGGCACTGCCATCTCCGACTATGAGCGTCAGGCTGAGATCTCCCGGGAGATTGGTCTCGATGAGGCTCTGGCGCGGTTGACCAATACTGCCCCGATGGAAGTTCATGATGTTGAAGCGAAACAGACTTGAGGGGTCTTCGTTTAGTGGAGTCTTTGCGACCGTCCTTGATGGATTTGATAATGTTAACAAAACGGATTCACCCCCTGTCTCGTTGAAATCTAGATGGGATAGGTACCGCTTAGAAGTTAATATTATGGGAGCCTAGTCTTTGATGAATGAAGAATACAGTAAAACCTCGTTATAACGAGATATTCCAGACAGTCCAATTTTCTCGTTATAGCGAGGTTCTCGTTATATCAAGGATATATATTATTTAGCCTGTAAAATAGCTTCGAATATCCCGCTGAGTCTGTAGGCTTAGCTTTCGACCCCAAAGGATACGCTCATGCTTATCTAGCTCATATATAAGGCTAGGAATGCCCTCTGCCTGCTGCTCCTCATATAGACGAAGTGTTCTTAGTGCCTCCAATGCCTGATCAAGCGATATATGCGGTAGAATTTCAAGCTCCTCCTCAGAATCATCATCAAGCTCCGGCCCATACTGAGCCAGAATCTGGCTCTCAATATCTTCAGGAGTATCTTGGATAGCTTCCTCTGCGGGGTTCAGAAAGGTATCAATATCCATTAGATCCTGGATAGGCGTAGAGAGCTTTAGGAGAGAGAATGCATTCTGTATATCATCCAGAACTGCTGGATCAACAGGCTCTCGATATGATGGTTGAGAATCTAGAGCCTTTCGAAAGCAATTCTGGATTACCTGTCCAGAAAGATCAAATTCCCAGCTCTGGATTCCCCATCGAACCGCTCTTAGGATGTTCATTGACATGATTGGATCACGATTAAGCTCAAACTCTTGAAGGATAAAGCGAATCCAGTATCTTTTCCAGTATGACTTCCAACAGTGGATAATCCCTTGATCAAGAGGCTGATATCGGCTGGTAGAGTTTGCAGGAAGCCATATAATAAGAGTATTCTGTAGTGGATAGCCACTAGATTGAATCTCTGTCACGGCAGCTTGATGAGCAGAGAAGTTATCCATAAGAAGGACAACATTCCGTCCACTCATCTGCTTATCAAACCAACGAAGAAACTCTGTAAATATTGATGTTGTAATCCAGGCTTTCTGGTTACTCCGCCAGATAAGATTTAGATTCCGTATATTAACACCAGCGGCTTGGAAAGCTCGTGGATTCTTTGCTGTACCGATAAACCATGGTAATAGCTTCTCAGAGCCATCCGCATTGCAACAAAAGAGGGCCGTTATCCGTGCTTTATCTTTCTTTCGACCTGGAAGTTGACGTGTTGAAAGACTCCGTGCAGGAGAGCGCTTCCAGAAGAGGCCAGTCTCATCACAATTAAACTGGTCCTTAAGGCTATACGCACTTAAGACTTGTTTAATCTCAAGCATCTCTTGATCTGCCTGAGCTGGAATACTTCCCTCCTCTCCATGTTGTCGATACCATCTTACTGACCTCCTTGTCTGGAAGTTATGAAGCAATCCATTGCTGAACGTTGGCATCTCTTTCCCTGGATAGATCTTCTCCCAAAAAGACTGAGCCTTTTGTCGAATAATCTCTGCAGAGATAGGTATTTGTTCCTCCACACGTATCATCCACTCAAATAAGGCGTTCTCTAGCTCTGGCCAGTTCTCACGGCGTTGGCGCTTTGCATCGCGGGAAGGGAGGGAATCAGCATCAAGATATTCGTATTTGCGGGATAAGATATCAGAGATGAGACCGGATGAAAGAGTATGATTATAGGTGTCCTGAAACCATTTGCGAAGCTCTTTCTGTGTTGCGTTTGGATAGAGGCGTTTTCGGGCTCGTAAAGCAGCCTTCTGGGACGTTGAGATAGGCTTTCTCTGAGGCATATTAGCTAATAAGAACCCTTGATATAACGAGATTTTGTATGGGAGAGAAGGCAAAGTTAACGAGACTCGCTGTAGCGAGGGATCTCGTTATTTATATGGAGAATTAATTGAAGCAAGAGATTTATCTCGTTATAACGAGGTTTTACTGTACGTTATCGGCCCAAGTGGTCTTGAAGAGTTCGAGCGGCCAACTAAGTACATTTAAAAAACTGTAAGAGCCGATCTTTCCACTCGATACTGCGGTCCTGCAAGCACTCGACTCTCTTGCTCCTCAATAAGAGGCCCCTAATGATGATACCAAACCATCGATAGCCGTGCTCCAAGTGACAGAGGAGCGAGCATCCACTGTCTAGGATGGTCAGCGCAGACGATCAACAAGAGAATTCAACCGTGACCCAAGTGGGGCGCAACATACTCAGAGAAATTAACAAAATGTCGGAAGGGAGGAGAAACCTCACTCCTTCTCATACTGAAACTTACAACCCACACAGGCCTGAATGCCACAACCTGGGCACATGAGAGTGTAAATTGGCATCCAGCGATGACAAATTTCACATGCCGGACGCTCAAATTGCTTGACCCAGGACCCAAGGTGGAGGCACTGCTGTGGATCGTTGCCTGTTCTCGGAATCTCTGCATCAGGAACCGTAAGACGGATATTTTCGAGCCAGCCGCAGAAGGTCTCCATGACAATACCTTGAAGTTCAACACGAAGGTCCTCCTCAGTGTAGCGACCATTGGGATCATCAAGCTTCTTTTGAAAGTATGGGACGAAGGGAGATAGGAGATCATGGAGGCTTGACAGATTGACACTGTCGTCGTTGTCGACTCCCTCAGACTCTTGTTCGTCCTCGTCGTTGTGGACAGCTTCGTTCACACTTACAGTCTCGGAAAGGTAGGGATTGGTACTGTAGAATTTGTGGGACGAGCCTGTCTCGCTGAAGTCGTAGAATGTCGCCGTGTCGTCGTCTGCTTTCTGGGCCTCTTCCAGACTAGTCGACTTATTGTCATACAGCTCAGCACAAGCCGCACGGATGCTCTCCATATGAAAGCGAGAATTGAATTCAGAGCCGCTGCTTTGTGCAGTAGCGTAGTCCAAGTCGGACCCACAGACAGACGGAATATACTCGGAGAGCTGATCGTCAGGGCACAGGGAAGAATCATCGAAGTCATGGTCGTCCTCCTCGTAAAGCTCTTGCAGATCTCCAGTATCCTCTTTGGACACCTCTTCCTCGCAATCGACTCCTTCATAGAGCTCCGGTTGGTCCTCAACTTCCTCCCCATGGATTGCTTGTTGCTCTTCGTCGTCCTCCTCGTAGATCTCTTGGTTCTCGCCCTCCTCATAAAGCTCTGGTTCGTTCTCACCCTCCTGGAACATTTCCTGGTAATATTCTTCCTCCCTGTAGTCCCTAGACCGGGGAGCCCTTTGTGCGCATTTATCCCAGATGTCTTGCTCCTTCCGGTTAATACTCTCAGTGTAGAATTCGAAATAGTCAGGTTCTTCTTCGAGAACATCCTCGGTATGAGCATCCTGTTCGAACAGTTCAGGCGGATGGTCTTCCCATGTACTTTGAAGCTTGCAATTCTCCTCTTGTCCTACCCTCTCGGCTTCCATCTGAGCACGCATCTGTTCCATCTCCTGCTGCCTGGCAAGGTTCCGTCTGAATTCCTCTTCCGCCTTGAGCATCTGCTCAACCCATTCCATATCCTCTTTAGATTCCTGCTTCTGAGGGCTCACATGTACACTTTGCTCGTAGCTGTACATGTAGCGACTGTTCTCATCGTATCTCTTGAACGCGGAAGCCGACCAGTGGGAGCCACCTTCATGCGGGAAATTAGTTCCATGCACGGATATCCTTCCCAGCTTGACGAGTTCCAGATCATGTTTCTTGCGGCGGACCGGGTCGCGAAGAATTTCCACAGCCTGCTGAATCTGATAGTCGGATTTGGTTAGCATGATTGGTTTCGAGTCCTCGGTATCCTTGCTTGCGGGGCTTGTACCTTCTGGAATTCGATATGAGAGCTCTCCTCCCCACCTGTCTTGTCTGGGTGATGCTTGAGAGCAAGTTTCTTGTAAGCTGTATTGATGTCCTTGATGGTTGCATCAGAATTGATTCCCAAAATCTCATAGCAGTTCGCAATGGTAAGGTGAGACATTGTGGGCTCGAGGCATCGATCCTCATCCGTCTTTCATAACAGAACAATCAAGTCACGCCTTCTTATTCACTTTAGGAATGATGTGACAGATTGTCGGACCAGCAAGAGCTGAAGCTGACGGGGGATGAATCAATAACAAACGACAAACAACAACACAACTTCCGGATTTTCTAGGGAAAGAGGCCCTTGATACGCACACTGTCCTTCGAGGTTGAAATGGTTTCAAAGTCAAGAAAGACGCCAGTGTAGCTATTGCTGGAGTCTACTAGTCAGGGATAGATTTTGGAAAGGGGAAGATGAAATCGTGGAGATTTGAACACAGCAAACGGAGAGAAATGTGAATTGAACGTCGGAGGTTCCTCTAGTCCAAACAAGGAAGTACAACAACACCATCAATCAGCAATTTCGTTTGGCCTGAATATGTAAGAAATGTTCATGGTGTCAGAACTTAGAAGACCTGAGACAGTCCAGTTAATATAATCCATCTCATGTAGAGCACGTAAAAGAATGTTCATATCGAAGTGAAAAAGTGTGAATCAGCGGCAATATCAAACATAGGATACCTTAATCATGATAGTAATAGTTGCATTAGGAACGATGTGTTAGAAGGATGCCAGAATGCACAAAAGAAAGCTGGATTGAGACTGATTTTACAGGCGGATGAAGAGTCTAGGTATTGATGAGTAAGTCTACACATATGGCGACTCCTTCCCACAAAAGCTCTATGAAAGCTTTTACATGTCCTCACTGGCAGTGGCACCAGTGATAATCTCGACCAGTTCACCGGTAATGGCGGCTTGACGCTGACGGTTGTACAGAATCTGGAACCTAAGAAGCTGTCAGTCTCTGAATTCCAGGTCTTAGCAAGGGGTGTAATTACTTGTTGATCATTTCACCAGCGTTCTTCGAGGCGTTCTATACAGTGATTCAAGTTAGTTGTCAACCCGATATTTATCACTCGAACTGAGGAGATACTTGCCTCCATGGCGTTACGACGAGCCTGACAATGCGTTAGCGATAGTTTGTATTTCTTACTAGAATCTCAAGAGCTTACCGAAATCTCACAAGCGTGGCCTTCAGCCATAGCCCAGTACAGGCTGTTGGCAAGAGCATATTCACGGAGGTTGGCCAGGGCAGAGTCCTCAACCTCGAAGGTGGCAAGGTTGGCTAGTCGAGCAATATCAGCACTATGATTTCAGTGAAAGACTCGACGAAGTTACTGACCGGACTTGGTGATAGCCTCCTCGGAGTAGGCCTCAACGCTGCTGGCCTCGTAACTCTGAGCGTTGATGAACTTGTTGTAGATAATCTTAACGCTAGCATAGTCGGTGGGCAGCTGAGCGATCTGGTCGGCAATGACCTGAGCATCAGCAAAAGTAGGAATGTCCTTGCAGACGTTGGCGAAGCTCATGACGATGGCGTCGGGGTTGGACCTGGACAGCTGAGCCTTGGCCTTCTCTCCGAGGATGACCACGTCAGCGTTGGGGTTCTCCTGGAGTATACGACGAGTAGCCTTGCTGAGACCGGAGTGGATACCACCGCAAAGACCCTTGTCGGAGCTAGCAACGACGAGCAGGGTCTTCTTGTCCTCGAGGGGCTTGGTTTCGGCGTTCTCGAAGACCTTGTTGGACGTCTGACCGTAGACACGGGAGTCGTCCATAGCCTTCTGGGCGCGGGTAAGACGAGTAGACGCAACGATCTTCATCGTGTTGGTGATCTTCTCGATGTTCTTGATGGACTTCAGACGGCCCTCGATTTCACGCAGAGTCGCGAAGTTGGCGGCGTTGGGGGGCGCAGTGCTTCCAAGAATATCAGCATCTCGTATCCACCAATTTCATTAACGAATATTTGTTCCCAATTCCATCGCTCTATTGATACGCCTGACTAGATGATCGATTGACGTCGGGGGCAGGGAGGGGGAGCGTTTGTATGGTCGGACAATGGACGTCCGGAAGAGGAACTCACCGGGTCAGAGTGGCACTGCCAGCCCGAACGGCCGGACGAACAGCACGAGAAAACATGGCGGATGTTAAGTAATATTGACCTGGACGAAATAAAGAGCGGAGGGAGTGCCGCGAGGTCAATCGAGGACGGGTGATGAGAGACCTATGCTATAGCGGGAAGAGAAGTCGTTCACTTTTGAGGTTCGACTCCTGTTTCTGTTCGTTCTTCCGACAGCCGGGAGGACGGGAATCCAGCCGCACTAAACCTACAATGGTAACTTTGCGGGTTGTCAGACAGACCTAAAGCGCAACACACACAGAGAGAAGATCTGTCACGTGACGTAATCAAGCCCCCAAGTTCCGGGCCATAAGGCATTGGCATACAGGCATCAACACATGACCGAGAGTCCCGTGACATTTATAACCTCAGGCATCAAAGGGAAACTCCCAACACGAGTGGTCACTGGTCCGGAGAAACGTGAGAAGCATACCTATTGGCAGCGGCCTCAGGCCCCCAAATGACCATCGTTTTCCAGGTTCCATTCCTTTCCTTCTCGGCCCTCGCTCTCTCTTCTCCCTCAACCTTTTCTCGTGTGTTTCCCTCCTTGTTGCGCTTCTCGGACTTCTCTTTCCTCTCAATTCATTGACATTGTATAATAATCTCCCCCTCAGCATCCTTTCATTCTTCGCATATTCATCATTCAAGGTCTCATTGACCTCACCATTTGGTCAAGCGACGTCTCTGTTCTTCAGACTTGGCAGACGACCAGCGTCGAGTCTCTGCGTGTCTCCGCTCCGTGTTTACCTGCATCTTCGATCCTCAAACCAACAATTTTCTACTCAGCGACTCGCAATCATGAGCTCCTCGGAAGATGATACACCACTCGTCAGAGCAAATGGTCGTTCCGCGGGTGAGTTCTTTTCACTGTGGCGTCACAGGGTGTTGAATCTTCGCAACCCTTCGCACCACCCTATGTCCTCTCATTTCTCACTTTGTTTTGATTTCTCAACCTTCCCACTCTTATACCGTCATTCAACTCAAGCTGACCTTTCATGGGACCTCAGCTACCTCTGCGGACGTGAAAATGGAGGATACGCCTGAGACCAACGGTCATGTCGAGCCTGGCGTTTCTCTTCGCTTTGGGCCTGTCAAGAGTGCGGGAGATGTTGATATGCAGGATGCTTCGGATGCCAATACCGGTATTGCAGGCAAGAGGAAGGCGCGGACAAGTGTCGGCCAAAGGAAATCCTATGCGGAGCCAGAGAGCAGCGAGGACGAAGATCAGCCCTTGGTACGCCGAACCTCTTTACGCCGTCTCCCTCGTTTTCTCTAGGTTGCGACGCTTTTGTCGCTTTTTGGTTTCAGCGTCTGACCGTTCGACAGAGCAAGCGCCGTCGCACGTCCGTGAAGCACGAAGATCCTGAGACCGACGAAGATGTGCCCCTAGCGCTCAATGGAAGGAAGCTTCCCAAGGCTTCCGAAACCGCTGTCGGTGCCGAGGAATCTGACTCCGATGTTCCAATCGAGCGGAAGCTCCTGGCCCAAAAGAAGAAAATCCAGCAGAGGGCAGAAAAGGACGCTAAGGCCAGCCGCAAGAGCGACGCATCACAGGCTGCAAAGGCGACAGCTGCCAGCAAGAAGAAACAGGCTAATGGTGTGAAGAAGGAACCTGTCGATGAGAAGAAACCGGCAGTCAAGAAGACAACCAAACAAGCCAATGCAGAGCCGGCAGCTTCTGCTAGAAACGGGAAAACGAAGGCGACACCTGTCAAGAAGGAAGAAAGCACTGAAGTTGAGGAAGGTGAAGAAGAAGAGGAAGAGTACAGATGGTGGGAGGATCCGACCAAGGGTGACGGGACAATCAAGTGGACGACCCTCGAACACAACGGCGTTGTTTTCCCTCCTCCGTACGAGCCTCTACCAAGCGATGTCAAGATGAAGTACGACGGCGTTCCGGTCACTCTTCACCCCGAAGCCGAAGAAGTGGCGGGGTTTTTCGGTAGCATGCTGAATGCGACTCAACATGTGGAAAACCCAACCTTCCAGAAGAACTTCTTTATGGATTTCAAGGAGGTCTTGAAAAAGACAGGTGGAGCGAAGGATCCAAAGGGCAACAAAATCGAGATCAAGGAGTTCTCTAAATGTGATTTCCGGCCGATCTTTGATTACTACGAGGCCAAACGGATTGAGAAGAAGAATCTTCCTCCGGCTGAGAAGAAACGTCTTAAGGCGGAGAAAGATGCTGCCGAAGCGCCGTATATGTACTGTCTCTGGGACGGTCGCAAGCAGAAGGTCGGCAATTTCCGAGTTGAACCGCCGGCGCTGTTCCGTGGCCGTGGTGAACACCCTAAGACTGGTCGTGTGAAGGCACGAGTCCAGCCGGAGCAGATCACCATCAACATCGGAAAAGATGCCCCTGTTCCTCCGCCACCTGAAGGTCATCGCTGGAAGGAAGTCAAGCACGATCAAGAAGGAACATGGCTCGCTATGTGGCAGGAGAACATCAACGGCAATTACAAGTATGTGATGCTTGCTGCCAACTCTGACGTCAAGGGCCTGAGCGACTACAAAAAATTTGAGAAGGCACGCGAACTCAAGAAGCACATCGATCGCATTCGCAAGGATTATCAAAAGGCCTTGAAACATGAGCTGATGGTTGAGCGGCAGAAGGCGACAGCTGTCTATCTCATTGACCAGTTTGCTCTTCGTGCGGGCAATGAGAAGGGTGAGGACGAAGCTGAAACTGTCGGTTGCTGCTCTCTGAAATATGAGAACGTCACTCTCAAGCCCCCAAACAAAGTTATCTTCGATTTCCTGGGTAAGGACAGTATTCGATTCTATGACGAAGTCGAGGTCGATCCTCAGGTCTTCAAGAATCTGAAAATCTTCAAGAAACCCCCCAAGAAGGAGGGAGATGAGATTTTCGATAGATTAACGGTGTGTGCTCAGCCCGGTCTTTTCGTGATGATGATGATGATGATGATTAAGAATGCTAACTTTTTTCAAGACATCTGCCCTGAACAAACACCTTTCGAATTACATGCCGGGCTTAACCGCCAAGGTGTTCCGTACGTACAACGCTTCGTACACTATGGCCACGCTCCTTAAGGACATGAAGGCAACGGGCAGTGTTGCAGAGAAGGTCAAGGCATACAACGACGCGAACCGCAGAGTGGCCATCCTCTGCAATCACAAGCGGACTGTTACCGCATCGCATGCCAACCAGATGGAAAAGATGAGCGAGCGTGTAAGTCTGTCCTCTGAGATGTTAATAATGAGTGATTGCTAACCTCAAGGTCGTGATCAGATCAAGGGACTCCGTTACCAAAGATGGCGATTGAAGCAACAGATGCTTGACTTGGACCCTAGTCTTAAGAAGAAGAAGGGCGCCAAGTTCTTCGAGATGGACGAAGACATTAGTATGGAATGGGTGAAGGAACATCAAGCCTACCTACTCGAAGAACAGCGACAGAAGATTAAGAAGAAGTTTGAGAAGGAGAATGAGAAGCTTGCTGCCGAAGGGGAGAAGGAAATGAAGGCCAGCGAGCTCGAAAGCCGCCTCGAGGCGGTCAAGGAAATGGAGAATAAATTCAAGAAAGAAAATAAGACAGGCAAAGTCGATGTTGAGGGCAAGAGCTCCAGTGTCGAAAAGCTCGAAGCAGCCATCACGAAGCTGGAACAGCGCATTGAGACAATGGAGCTCCAGGCTCAGGACAAGGAAGAAAACAAGGAAGTCGCTTTGGGAACTTCCAAAATCGTGAGTCACCCACCCTCTACCCAATGATCATAAGATGCGCCGGAGTATCGACTGACGTTTGCTAGAATTACATTGATCCTCGTCTCACGGTCGTCTTCAGCAAGAAGTTCAATGTGCCTATCGAGAAGTTCTTCTCCAAGTCCTTGCGGGAGAAGTTCGAATGGGCCATCAAATCAGTCGACGAAAATTGGGAGTTCTAGATGACCGTCGTTTAGGGCCGTCCTTGTATTACCTCATGAATTTTTTTTAACGCCTCAGCATTCTTTATAGCGACTAGACGGAGTACTCCGTAACATACGTTCCATTTTGAAGCCTTTCCTTACCACAATGCTTGCTTGGGAAGCCTTGTCTATCGACCTGCTCACTCAACCAGTGTGGAGTCGGGCATTAGATGAATTATCTTGGGTTCATTCAACGCTTTCTTCTCGATTAGAATCTCTGCTTTTGCTCTTTGATTGCGTCTGCTCTCAGTCGCTGGTAACCTGTTTCTCCGCAGGGTAAGTTTGTTCCAGCAAACTGGTATCATTCAAGAAAAATAGAGTATACAGTCGTCGGCGATATCACAACAACCTACAATATAGATGCTCGACTCATCTAAACTCGCAAAGAGACGGTAGTCCATTTCCGAAGATTACAACCCGATGTCACAAAAGTCCTGGAAGATCGTACGATGCAGAAAACACAATGGGACAAAGTAACATTATTATACATTCTCATCTAGTTATGCGGTCCGAGTTCAATGTAGGCATCAATGGCAAGAGACATGCTGGCCATGTTCGACAACGAAATGTAGCAGAAATGTACAGTAAAGAAGCAGGCGGGAGATTTCATCGCAGTAAGTCAAAGTGCATATGTTATGTTATGTACACCCAAGTCTACATGTTCATCAGGGTCATGAGCAGAAGAAGAAGCAGCACTCTCTGAAGCAAGGAAAGTGATGAAGTATGCAGATGGACACGAAGAGGATATCAAGAACATGCCGGTGGTGGAGCCCGAGGTTGAGGAGAAGAAGAGTAGAAGACGAAAGTTAAATTACAGAGAAGAAGATAGTCAGTCCTTCGTTTGTGGATGAATCTAACCAGGATATCTGGCGAGATGGCGTGTGACGCGGGACGCTCTTTTCCAGGGTAGAATTCAAGGGTCACCGTGTGGTGGTGTGGAAGAGAAAACGGGTCGATGACAGGCGGTGCTCGTTCGCGATGGCAGACCGGCGATGCTTTTTCAGGTTGGGCAAATTGCTTAAAAACGAGCTAAGGGCTCTATGGCCACCAGCCCATACGTTTGTAGCTATCGACCATGGCGCGGACTCCCTCTGCATCAAAGCGTTCGCGTGTAGGCCTCCATCCGGTGGTTGTTTCAAACAATGTGCCATCGATCGACATATCCTGGTCTTTGATGACATCTTTCTCGAGGAACGGGCTGATTGGCCCGGGGCGTGTGATGCCCTTTTTCTCCAGCAGCTCTGCCCAGCCCTGTAGACTCACCTCGTTCATGTCATCCACAACATCGTCAAGGTTCAACTTGGCGAGTTGAGATGCCAACGATCCGAGGAATGAGGTCTTGAGCCCAAAGACCGTGGACAAAGCCTCCGCAACATGTTCCTGGCGAGTGTCGCCGTGGTCGACGACGTTGAAAGCAATCGGGGCGGATCCGTCAGTGGTTGCCGCCCTCCATTCGGCCGCCTTCCACAGAGCGCTGGCTGCGTCTCTTACGTAGAGCGTGTTAATCTTCAGGTTCTTGGTGTAAAGCAGTTCCAAATCCGTTTCCATGTCCAGGTGTACCCGCGCCAGGCAGATACCCATCGCGAAATAACCCGAGTCGTATTCACCGTAAACGTGTGGAAGTCGCAACAGACAGTAGTTGAGGCCAGGAATCTTCTTCAGCTCATCCGAAGCCTTCAGCTTCCATTTGGCAAGTCGATGCCAGGGCTCGAGTTTGTCGTTTTCTTTTCGAGGGGAAGAGCCAGGCTTGTATACATGAGCGGTCGAGCACTCGACGAAGGAACGGATGCCTCGACGAGCCACTTCGCGGCCCAATGCCACCGTAAGATTGTAACTCCGTAGTTCGTAGACATCATCTGGCTGAGAGTGTCGTGTCTCACCACCGCAGTTGATCACATAGTCGAATTGTTCCCCGTTTGCACGGTCAAATATCCGCGGGAAGTGCTCTTTACATCCGTACCAGACGACCGTCAGCAACAGTCCAGAGCGAAATTTGCGATGAAGTAGTTACTCACGTTCCCGACTAGCGTCTGCTTGAACGAATTTATCTTTCGAGCATGCCTCCTCGAACTCCGGTGCCAACCAGGCCAGCTGAGGGAGGACCTTGTCCACAAGTCGGACCTCCGAAGCGAGGTTGTTTTCATGGATATATAGAGCAAGATGACGACCGATGAATCCTAGAGCGTTTTACGAGTCATGTGTCAGTGATCCTTTCCATTTTCTCCTTTTCCTCGCACAAGAATGGAGATCGCATCGCGCATACCTAATCCTCCGACGATGAGCACAGCAGGCTTTTTCCCTTGGTCGCTCGCCATGATCGTATGCGACGGTAGTTCAGACACGCGCCTATAGTACTTCTGCTCTTCTTTCCTCCGATTGTAAACCAGAGTCGACTCAAGTGAAACGTGTTCAATCAAGTTGGTCGACGCCCCGCACTCGAGTTCGACAAACCAAGATTATGCGGGGGTAATATTCAGAAAAGGGGGAGGGGGAAATAGAAGGAAAATGATTAGAGACGAGATCAGTATCAGCCCGCTAACGATGAATGTGTTGACAAGTCTAAATGGGTTTTTTCTGGTCCGTTTCTCAACAGTCCCAGGAAAGAAAGCAGAGAAGGAAAGGAAAAGGAGATGCCAACGTGCAGACACGAGGGCGACTCAACATGGTCACTTGGGGGCAATCATTTTGGGACTAAGAGACGCTTTGATGAGCCGGAGCGTATCAGCTTCAATAGAGTCAAACCTAACGCCCCTCGGGCTCTGAAACAGCCTCCTCCGATCTACTGTCCATGAGTAGTTGCATTACGCTTACAAATTTCTTTCTTTCGCTAAGATCATGTTGTTAATGAATTGACGATTCATCTTCCTTCCTTCCGTGCGCTCTTGTTAAGGCATGACAGTCTAGCCGATCGCCTGGACAGAAGAATTGACATAAGGTCAGTAAGATGACGGCATCCCATCCTTCTGCCTCTCTTTGGAACTGGCTTGACTTAATCTGTCTACGGTATGACCCGAACCAAATCCAAGGACCCAGTGATCGCCTTGTTTGAACGTAGTAGACCTCCAGTATCCCACCACTAGCATCCTATACGCTCTCGCTTACTGACTCTCCTTCGTTTTGTCCAGTTGCAGACCGAGTATGAGGGCCACCTTCGTTTGCGAGAGAGATTTCTCTCACGAACAAAAACAAGATGATGATAGTCACGACGATGTTGAATCGACGGAAAAAGGTGGAGGGCCTTTCGCATTTTCCCACCCGAGCAAACTCCGTTAGCGCTACGTCTAGAAATTTCGCCAGGATAGTGGGGATATCCGCTGTTCAGCATAGCCAATATCTGCTTGGTCGCTGCAGGGAACCCAGAAATTGATTGATCATCTCTTCCCCTGCCAAGCACGCTGTGTGGGACGCCCTCCGCTCTTCAGGGACACCGTCCGATCATAGTTCCGCGCCCAAGTGGGTTTGCGACCAGGAGGTACGAAGCCACAAGCCCGAAAGAGCAGTGATAGCGCAAGAGGCGCAAGAGGCGCAGGAAAATACCGGCGGGTTTGGGATTGTTGGTCATGATCACGGTGAGAGACCGAGGGACAATTCCAGGAACGATCGGATTGCGCAACATAAATCCCTGTTGGACAGTGCAAAGGTTGAAGCCCGAGCCTGGGGTCAAGCTTTCAAGACGAAGCTGATCGCTTCGGGATATGAAATGGATGATCGACGTTTGTTCGTTTCTACTACTTGTCCATATTGAGCAGCTCAAGATGGGGCATGCGAAGTACTAATACCAGTTATTCTGGGGCAATCTGAATTGGTTCGTCGTAAAATTACGGTAGACTTCGATGAGCCTTGAGCCTTGAGCACTTGAGCACTCGCTGGAATGGGACAATTGAATCAAAAGCCACTATTGAAATTATTTCCAGGTCATGCTCAAGCCACGCCTAGGGCGATCCAAATCCCGCAATGAAGGAATATCGCTTAATGCAACAAGGCGGGCATGTCTCACTCTAGATTTCTTTCATTTCCCTCCATTTCCGAGTCAAGCATTGCAAAAGGAACGAACCTATGTCCAAGCGTTCTGCATACTTAGCCCCGATCATGACGCATTGCCTCCTTTGAAGCTGGTCATACCATGAACCGCCATGTCTCAACTGTGGTCGAATGAATGGCTGGAACTCTAGTGAGACCCGGCGTACTCGTTCTTCTGGACCATTGTCCTTGTCAGTATACTTTCAATTCTGGTAAATGTTTCGTATGAATCATGTACCTCACTACTTGGCATAACTGAATCAAGGCGCGAATTTTACCTATGCTCTCTTTCTCTCACAATAGGTTCTTCGGCATAGATCCTGCAGCCTTAGACCAAACGATTAGCTCAGGAGACAACATGAAGCATGACACGGATGTGGAATCGCTGGTTTCCAGCCTCGCTTCCATCCTCGCCTTTGACTCTCCATGAATTGCGAAGTTCCTGCATGACAAATTCCCAGTCGTCATCCCTGCCCTGGCGTACCCTTATGAAAAACTCCGACCACTCGAACTTGACGGACGCCGCCACAACTGCTTGCGGTGCTGGAGGACTGCTGTCCCACTTTGAGATCTCCTTGGTCAGTTGAGCGCTAGGGTCCCATTCGTGGATGTTGCATTCCTCCGCCATGTGCGCTATGAAGGATGCTGCAGATTGAAAGAACTGGAAGGGGACCCAAACAGGCGCCATGTTCGGCTGGGTTGACGCGGATACCAGGAACTTTGTCTGCTGTTTTAGTGCATCTTCGGGCATACGCGCTGTGTCTGCAGGGGTGATTCCTGAGTGGTTGTCTATTACTGAGTCCGTTTTCGGGGTTCCGGAGTATTCAGCACGGTTTATGTCTCTTGATGCCCCGTTCAGGCCGACCAGATCCTGTGTTCTCGTGGTGTTTTTCGCAGTGTCAATGATAGAGCTAAATGGCCTAATGGCCCTGGCATCTGCACCTCTGAGCCGTGATGGCGAGGCTTCGAGGTCATCGGGGGCCCTTCTTTTTCCTAGCTGGTTATTGTTGTCGCCAACCCTGGACGATAAGCTTCCTGCCAGTCCGTTGGTGAGAACAAGGCTCGAAGAAGACAGCGTTTTGGCAGGCGCATCGCTCGGGGTTTGAAGTATCTGCGTTGTCCTTCCTGTCAGCCATCGTATCAAATCACACAACCAAAAGAGCTTATTCATCGCACTGACCATATTAGCTTTGAGGAAGCTCCGAGCCTTCTTCTGCAGCAGCATCTCAATCACACGCACTATCCTATTACAGCGTCAACGCAGCTCAAACCAACAATAATAAACTGAACACTCACTCCTTCTTCCTCTCCGGATAGATACAAAGAGAAGCCGGATCCGCTCGAGAATCTTTCATAAGGAATCTCTCCCTGTTCACCTCCTTACCCCAATACAGCATCCCATACCGGCCCAGAAAGCTCTCAGCACACGACATCCGCTCCTGTTTAGATTGCTCCAGCAATCCCCAGTCGAATCCAAATTGTTCGGTGTGTTCGGTAAGCCGCGTTAGGAACTCCTTGTGATATTGATCTTTCAAGTCAAGAAACAGTGTAAAATCGCGGTATCGCATGCTGAGCCGCAGAACTCCATCGTCTAGAGCTTCTTCCATGGCATTCTTCTCGGTATGTCCGAGGGAAAGAGTTCGCTGGCTTCTCGTTTTAGAGGCCATGTTGCGTGTTCTATGTGTTATCAGTGATCAGTTTAGTTTTCGGGCAGGCGAGGGGTGAGTTTTGAACAAGAGCGTGGGATACATTCCTGCTCAGAAACATTGTGGTAAGCTGGCCCTGTTAATAAAGGCCTGAGGTGTTTCAGCAAACGTGTGAATGTGGAGTGAGCAGTGTGTTCGTGGTCTATGTGTTGGGCTGTCTTAGTCGTCGGTCTAAAATCCCAACTCTCTTTACGATGTCGAAGTATTCACAAGAACTGATATTTGTAGGCTTGTGTATTTATACAGAAGGTGATTTCTAATGCAAGCAAGATATTTAGCTATGCTTTATACTATACTTCGTATGTGGAATGCCTTTCGCAATGGATGAGTTTCTTCTACTGTTTAGATACCACGCATTGTTAAGCAAGACTAGACTGGGAAAATGAACTGGTAGATTTTTACCACTCATTAAGTATTTGATCAGAATGACTTAGCAGAGCTACGTAGCATCATGGTCATCACAATATAGCGGAAAAGCTTACAGAAAGAAAGACATAACTTGACCAAGCTGAACAGCTTAATCAGTGTACAGGAAGTTTCCTTCAAAAGGTTGCTCAGCGCAAAGTACAACAGCAGACATTGGTCTTTGACTCCATTACTCTGCCCCCAGATATTTCAACGAGTTTCTGAGTTCTTTGATCGCCGTGTCAACGTCATCAAATGTCAGGGCGGACACGGCCCAACGGGCATGCTTTTGGGCTAGGGCAATGGCTTGGTCATCTATCCCCTGTGAATTGCTTTGACTTGAAGCTGAGACTGTGGGTACGGCCGCTGGTGCTGGTTGCTGGACCGGACGCGAGACTACTGGTACCGGTGCTGTATGGGGTTGTGCAGGTGGTGAAGGAGCCCAGCCGCTTGGCTTGGGTTGATTATAGAAATAGCTGGGTTGGTTGAATGTAGCTGGAGGACTTGAAGGAAGGTTCGCAGGAGGAGGAAAGGAATGGAACGAATTAGAATTGGAATCAGCGGGATGATGAGCGCCCAGGCTTGCAGGTGTGTCTGGGAGATTCGGGATTGACGAAGAGGAGGCAATAGTCGCTGGAGCTGAAGGAAGTTCTAAGGTCGATCCTTGCTCGGCAGCATGACCTGTTTCTGGAGCAGGTGTCCGTGGAGCGCTTGTTGGAACATCCGGTATGCTAAACGCATCATCTGTACGCTGCGGCCGAGTAGCCGATGAAGACCTCGACGGGTGCAACGAGTCGTCCATCAATGACTGCTGTGCCATAGCTCTTTCGGCACGCTCCGATTCATCAGGGACCTCTTCCACAGTTGGTTGCTGCGTTTGCGAGGCAAGATCTGCAGCAGGCTGTGCCTCGAGATCCTCCACGGTTACTGTCGGCCCTTCAGCCTGGTCGTCTTCCTTGATGACCGGGTTTGTTGCGTTAGGATCCTCTCCGGCCTTGATCGCCTTCACAATTCTCAGTGCATGATACTTGGCAAACTTGATCTTCGCAGCAATTTCGGGTTCGAGGGGGTTCCAAATTTGACACAATTCAAGAAACGTAGCGGCCGCCTGAAAAGTGTCTGCCGTTTGCCTGCAGCGGGTCAATCACAATTTAATCCTGAGGTTTGTCCATCACTACTCACTTAGTCACTTTGTTGGCCCTCATGGTCGTATCCGCCCGGTTAAAGACCTCCAAGCCGAACTGCTCCACGTAGGCATTCGCCGCGACTGCATCGATCACTGTATCATTATCCGAGTTTTCATTTCTGAACTTTGTACCATAACATGTCAACATTCAGGTAAACTATGAAATCGCTCCAGCGGGTTCCAGCGCTCGACGTACTTGTTCCAGCTTCTCCATCAGATCCATCGCGTATTGTTCGACTTCATGGTCCGACTTGTGTAATCCCCTCTCGATTATTTGGTTGGCTATCCAGTAGTTACCTGCATTCGGAGAAGAGCATGCGTCAGCGTTGGTGTCTCGAGGGTACAATCGCACGTCACTCACACCAGTAGGCAACGACGGGCTTCACCCGCTCAATTTGGGCCGCTCTCGCCGCGAAACGCCCAATGTCCGCAGACTTGAGTCTAGCAGGAATATTGCTCGTCATGGATATGAGTAGATTATAACAACGGCTGTATAGGTATGGCGAAATCGGGGATTGTTGGGCCCTTGGGGTGGAGGAGCGGGACGCATGAACAAAGCGGGGATGACGTTGAAGCTCCAATTTTAATGTTGTCGGGCACCGTACCGAGCCTTGGGAATTGAGGTACCACTACGGAGTACGGAGCAACTGTTAAACGGATGTATGCTTATTTACGTTTTTTCAATCTACAGCCAAAGAGAATGATATAATTTACAGGTCAACTAAATGATCTTCGAGTCATTATCCTTGTGTCTCGTTACTTGTACTATCGCCCGGCATCGCGCAGAGAGGTCTCACGCTCATCAACTCAGCAGATCCAAGGTAGAATCTGTTGCCAAATCTAATTCTTAAGCATCTTCGACAAACCATTCTCCGATTTCAACTCGCTCCTCGGCCAAGGCTTCTACCTCAAAGTGATCTTCTACCTGGCCTCCAGGGCCTCCAATCCTTTCAAGGACAATCCACACACCACGGGTGTCTTCAGAGCAAGGATGCAGGTCGAAGTCTTCAATACGTATTCCAGATATCGCATCGCTATGATCGCCATCTTCTGAAGTCGCCAGAATCTCCTTGTAGGGGCCTTGGCCCAATTCGACTGTCATCAGCACTGGTGAAGGGCCAACGGGATGACTCCCGATTGTAGAACGGCGACTGCGCGCAATAAGCTTGATTCGGGTAAGTCGCGGGACCTGCAAAGGCGCCAGCATCCTGTCTCTTCCTGGTGGCAAGACACCTATATCTGATAACACTGCTCGCCGTCCTGCTGCTTCGGACGAAAGGGGCTTTAGCTCGCATGGAACCATAGATGAGACCCAGAGCGTGAATCGGCCAAGTTGGTCGGGAGCGAACGTGGAACAAACGATCGTGTACACGCCCTTATCCAGGTGTCTCTTTTCAGCAAGAGCCGCTCCACGACGATAGTCGCCGCTATCAGTGATAATGTCGCGGTTGCGAACTCTAGTTACGCGCTTTCCGTTCGAAAAGAACAACTTGGCATGTATTGCAAGTTCGGTGTCGGACGATTCCAACAAAATGGAAATATCGGTGGCATTCGATAGCGTCAATGCGAACTGCGGATTCGTTGGGTACCGAGCTGATTCTGCATTGCCGCCTGCCGTCGAAGGCATCCAGGAACCCTGGACCTTACTCACGCACGTATATTGATTCTGTGACGGTGCGATATGCACAGGGGAGATCGAGAGAGCGGATAGTGTGAAATTCTGACTCAAAGCAGGCAGCGACTCCTCAGAGACAACTGCCGTATAAGTTGTTCTCGGCAGCATTTCCAGCCTCATCAGGGTGTTGGGTGAATCCACGTAGGGACCCCGATGAAGCGCACCGTCACTTAGACAAACACGCTTACCATCTGCATTGAATACGTAAATGCTAATAAACCCAGCTTGTGAGTCCTCAGAGGAAGAATAGTCGAGTCGATCAAGCGTTCTGAAATGCTTGCCGAGGAGCAGCCAGACAGTACCCCCCGTTTCAGAGGTTACTGCAAACTGGGGATTCTTCACAAAGCAGCCCGGAACCCCCTTTCCCGCCGCGAGGTCCCATGTAAAATGTATATCTTGGCGGTATTTGAAGAGGCTGGGATTCCAATTCAGATAGAGGTTTTCAAAGTTCTGGAAGACCATTTCGCAGTCCATCCAAAACGTCCCAGGAGCAAGTGACGATCGGTCATGTGGCGTGTGTGACTCGAGGGCATTCTCCGTCCTTCCACTAGCCGTGTCGACTCCAGCCCATGGGTTCTTCACTAACATTTGCCGACGGCCCTTGAACTCTTTCATATCAAGAATTGCATAGTCATGCTCACTAACCAAGCCCAGTTCTTCCTCTTCTTTCTCAGTTAGTTTCCCAGTGCCGATAGTCAACAAGACATCGCCATATTGAAAGGATCTAAAGAGGCGCCGCCAAATTTGATCGCTAGTCACATCCTCATGATGTAGGAAGACTTGTTCAGGTATCCAACCCGTCAGTACCCACAGGTCTGTTCCCGAATTGCTCCCAGGAAAGTCATAGCCCCCTCTTAGCTTTAGGTACGCCTTTTCCACAAGCGCAGGCCACAGAAAATTGGGGTTATTTCTATCAACAACGTAAAGTGACCTTGAGGTCTTCGACGATGGCAAGCGGTCATCGATGACTACCTTCCTGAAGCATCCGTTGAAATAGAAACGAAGAATGTATCGCCCCGAAGGCGCAGGCTTGGGATGGCCTGTGTCATATTCGCAGGGATAAATCACAGGGAGATAGCGCTACTTTCATGTCAGAGCCTGATACGATCCATCAACAGCCGGTGTAGATTACCTTGTCAAGGCCACGTTCCGATCGCGAGGTTGTAGCGCAGAGACTGGCGACAACGGAGCAGTCCGTCAAGACATCTTGCACAAGATCAGTTTCCTCTGGCACGGACATCACCAACGTGTCCCCGCCGGCATGCGCCAACAGCTCTGAAGGCCGCTTCCACCCATCAAATATGTCCTTCTGTTTGTCAGAAAGATGGAGGTCAGGCTTGTCACTAGCCTGTGTCAGCAGTCACTTCCAATACTTTTAGTAAGCACTGCATGAACGTACATGAATAATTGTCCTCCCTCACTAGGTTCGAATTCTTCTAGACTCGGAGGCCCTGCCCATGGCGGAAAGATAAAGCCATTCAGCTTGGCCCCTTCAAGCAAGATTATCTCTTCACGAGTTGTGAGTGTGCGCGTAGACACTGGTGCCTCTAGTTCCGCTGCATGTCTCTCATGGACCCGGATTGCGGATCGCCAATCCTTGGCTCCTTTGATTTTCTCTGCTCTGGAGAGCCATTCCTTGCATTTCGCATCCAACGACTGCTTGTCGTTAGTGGTTGCTGCCAGAGACAGAGCTTTCATATAATGCTCAGCGGCGTCAATAGCAGCCTCCAGGGCTTGTCTTTGAGAAGTAGCTGCAGATACATCTCTTTCAGCTTTCTAATCACTGGTCAGTGGAGGGCTGCTTGTTGGTTAAGTCAAAAGTGGAAATTATCTACCAGAGCATGAGCAATTAAAGTCTTTTGCGAAGAGGCGTGGGGTCTAGACATCCTGCCCCACGAGGGGTGACAATCGTTCGGTGAGCGTTTGTATTGGTGTAGCCAGATCTACTACGCGTCACGGCCTGTCAAGCTTGCAACGAGCATCCGCAAAGACATTAGGTAGAGATCCGCTAACAGAAGCCACCTATCAGAATACGGAGAGATAAAAACGGTTGACACTGCTTGTGACCGGTCCGAGGGGTCGCAGGGAAATCTCCGAGCGTGACATCCGAGGTCAACACCGTCCTGCGATGTGTTGTGCGACGGGTTCCGAGTAGTTATTTGATAACAGGTGGAATCAGGATAGGAGAATGCGATGACCTTGCCGATCCCCGAGACGAGGAAAGATGGGTCTTGCCAGCTAATATTTGGATGTTAATTTGCTCTTTCAGTCGAATGTATGACGTTGATAGTAATGATGCTGCCGAAGCATGTCACCTTGAAACTATGTACCAGCCCACCTAGTCAATAATACGGAGTACCTCTCCAGAGATAGATCGATAGCGTATGGGTCGGCGGGGAGGAACGGGAATGCTGCGGGCGGTGAAGGCGGCAGACACAGACCGCAGCGGATACCGGACACTCACGCTGGACACTGCAAGCAGCAGATATACCTCGGCTCTTTTCGTCATGCGCGGTCCACCGAGGTGCTGGGCACTTCCGTGCTACTACTGTACTGTTAGGACGGAGTAGTTGATACCTACTCCGTTTACTTGTTTCTTCTCTACAGTACAGTCTTGTTGCATTTTCTTTCTACACTTAGACTGATATGCATGCAGTGTGTTCGCTTCCATCTGCATACTGAAGGCTAACAGCGTTGCGAGTAATTGTCGCCTTCCCACTCCACTCAGAATACTCCCTCTCTCTTTGCCAATTATTACTTCACCGAGCCTTTAACTGAATACCGGATCGAATAGACCTGGTCTTTTGATATTAGTTCTCTCCTTCTTCCCTCAACCTGTCTTGAAGAATCACATACCGGGGTACAATCTAGCTCATCGCGGACAATGACAGGCCAATCCAAAGCCATGCGTCTCTCCCCCTGGGGAAGTGCTGTTGCAGGTGCAACTGGCGCAGTTCTTGCGAATGCGATCGTATATCCCCTAGATATGTACGTCGTTCCTCTTACAGTTGCAGAACCTGAAGGTTACGAAGCTAACACATCAACGATTTGATGGGCAGAGTCAAGACGAGACTGCAGGTGCAGGTGAAGAGCGACAAAACTGACGGATCGGATGGAACGATGCATTATGAATCGACTTTGGATGCCATCAACAAAATTGTGGAGAGCGAGGGAATTGAGGGTCTATATTCTGGAATGGTTGGGTCCTTGATCGGTGTTGCATCTACCAACTTCGCCTACTTCTACTGGTACAGCGTCGTTCGCTCCCTCTATATGGCATCTGACCGGGTGCCGAAGCCTCCTGGCACCGCTGTCGAGCTGAGTCTGGGTGCCGTCGCGGGTGCTGTTGCTCAGATCTTTACTATTCCGGTCGCAGTCATCACTACAAGACAACAAACACAACCAAAGGGGGAGAAGAAAGGCCTGATCGAGACCGGTAGAGAGGTTGTCAACAGCGAGGATGGCTGGACTGGTCTATGGAGAGGTCTCAAGGCCAGTCTGATTCTCGTCGTCAACCCGGCAATCACATACGGGGCCTATCAGCGCCTGAAGGACATAATTTTCCCAGGGAAGAACAGTCTCAAACCTTGGGAAGCTTTCCGTAAGTTGCGCACGTTATTCGACTGTGGTCGCCGCTTGAAGACTAACTGGTATCGCAGTCCTTGGTGCACTTTCAAAGGCTCTTGCCACCATCGCAACTCAGCCACTAATCGTTGCGAAGGTTGGTCTTCAGTCTAGGCCCCCTCCAGGTCGCGAAGGGAAGCCCTTCAAGACCTTTGGCGAAGTCATGCGTTATATCATTGAAAAGGAAGGAGCTCTCTCATTGTTCAAGGGCATTGGACCTCAAATTACCAAGGGCCTTTTGGTACAAGGTCTCCTGATGATGACCAAGGAGAGAATGGAACTTATGTTCGTTCTTCTCTTTGCATACCTGCGCAAGATCAGGCAAGAGAAGCTTCGAAAGGCCGTTGACGCCGCTGCGTCGAAAGCCAAGACGAGCCTTCCTGCGACTCTCAAATAGAATTTCTGACTCAGTCGCCTTAATTTTCTTGTTCAGCGACGACGATTTCCCGTCCACTTCATTTCTGTTTCTTCTTCCAGGCGCTTGGGTTGTATATTCGCGGGCTTTCCTCAAAGTTTTCTGAGCCTCTTGTATATTCTGAGAGGCAGCCATGATACATAGAGTATGAACTATACCAGGTGTATATCCAGGATAGACCTGCGTAATGCAAAATCTGATGGTTACATAGAGACCAACATGTGTCAAGGAATCTGTCGCGATAGAGTCGGATATCGATAGGGTATACAGGCGAATCCTATATATAAATCAGCTGTATTGCATGTTAGCAGCAGCAGACATTATTAAAGAATTTTGAAAGGCAGAATATAATTTTGATCTTGTTCGAGACAAAGCACCGTGGTCAATGTAGCTTTGTCCAGTCTGTCCGCAAAATATATTCTCTCGGACAGCGGGATATATATTTTGGGTCTGACCGCCCAAGTCTTCCCATAAACAAAACTATTTACCAACTGCGCTTCTCCCCATTGTCTCGAGCTTCGGATTGCCAGTTCCTCTGGCCAATTCTCCGCAGTCTCAAACCCTCCAAACAAGCAGGAGCGAGGTTATGAGCCGTCATGCGATGGCCGCCATGGGCTTCCGACTCGCAAGCCCAGCAACAAACCGCGAAACATGATGAACACGATGAAAGACAAGCCGCTGCGAAATCCACCACAACTTCAAAAAAGAAGGACTGGGAGTCTTCGGTAACAGCAATAGACTGGGCTGCCTTTACAGAAGCAAGAACGATCATCCCGACCCTGATCCTGACGAGCGGTTTCCTCGGCGCATTCTACATCCATCGCCGCTATCTGCGCCGGTTCCCCGACGCAGTGAGCATCACGCCGTCATATTTCCGCCGCAGGAGTCTGCTGGGCCAGGTCACGAGTGTTGGCGATGGGGATAACTTTCGGATATATCACACACCTGGCGGAAGACTTGCGGGGTGGGGATGGCTGCCGTGGAAGAAGATTCCGACGTCGAAGAAGGAATTGAGAGATAAGACGGTGCGTTTGGCCCCAGTTCTATAGCTGCTGTCGTCTCTTGCCAAGGAGCGTCGCGAACTATATCTCATTCTAAAATTCAGGTCCACATTCGTCTAGCTGGGATCGATGCCCCCGAGCTCGCACATTTCGGCCGTCCCGAACAGCCGTTCGCCCGTGAAGCACACCAATGGCTGACCTCGTATCTTCTCGGCCGTCGAGTCCGTGCCTACATCCATCGTCCGGACCAGTACCAGCGTGCGGTCGCCAGTGTGTACGTGCGCCGGCTTCTAGACTTTCCGCCCCTTCGTCGTCGGGACGTGTCGTACGAGATGCTGAAGCGGGGGCTCGCGACTGTATATGAAGCGAAAATAGGTGCGGAGTTCGGTGGTGAGGCCATGGAGCGTAAATATAAGAAGGCAGAGTGGTGGGCGAAGTTGAGGGGTGTTGGGCTGTGGAAAGACTATCGTCGCAATAAGACAAAGTGGGAGAGTCCCAGAGAGTACAAGACGCGTATGGGACTGGAGGAGGCTGCGCAGCCCCCGGTTGAAACCAAGAAATAAGGCAATGACAGGGATATGAATTCAGGGTGGTTTTGGTGTACAGCCTGCTGTCACTAAGTTAGGCTTGATATCCTTTGCCTTTCATGTATGATGTTGGTATCTTGGAAAGCTTCGTGTCCATAGATTTCATCATGGGATTTGATAAATTAGGAGACTATATATCTGTCGCGTAGATGCAGCCTGTGTTTGCATCGAATCAGACATTTAGTCCCGATCATCGAGTTCATAACATATGGACTCATGCAGAAGATACCCAATTCATAACAACGGAAACCGTGATCGTAGGTCTTGCCCGTCTCGCCAACCAATAGCATATGATACCGCTTAAAGTCCAACAGCAATATGTCCAACTGGCAAGTCTCAACAGAATCTCCGCTCAACCTCTGCAAAGAGCTTTGGGCTGATTTCATCGCTAGAGTCGCCCTCCACTCGCCACAGGCAGCCCTTCCGCTCATAGTACTGCAGCAAAGCCTTGCTGGTTTCTTCAAACTTGTGCAACCGCTGCTTCCATGTATCGATCGAGTCGTCCTGCCTTTGTGTCAGAGGCTCCCCTGTCACGTCGTCCTTGCCGGGGACTTTGGGGACGTTGAAATCGGTGTTGTATACTCTCCCGGACGGTTCGTGGACCCAGCGCGATGCGATTCGCGAGAGAATGACGGATGGTGGTGTGACAAGGTGAACGACAAAATTAACGGGGACAATGGTGTCCAAACTCGAGGCTTGGGCGGCGGTCCGTGGGAATCCGTCGAGTATGAATGAGGCGGAAGGGGATAGCGAAGTGACCGGACGAGATGTGTGATTTGATGTGGCTGTTGCGAGAGGCGCTGTCACAGGGAGCCAGCCCTTGGACTTAAATTCGGAGGAGATGAGCTCGAGGATCATGGAGTCGGGAACGAGGTTGCCAGCCTGCATTGCGGCCTCCGCTTTGAGACCTTTGAGCGGACAAGACGGTTAGAGACATGCGCTTCTGCGACTCAATAGGATCGACCTGATTTACCTAACGGGGTCTTCTTCCGCACATTTTCGCGCAACAGGTCCCCTGAGCTGATTGAGGATAGCTCTGGATATCGTGCGAGGAGCCTTTCTGTCTGAGTTCCCTTCCCTACGCCAGGCGCACCAATGAGGATGATACGCGCAGCCTTTTTAAGCTGCTGAGTGATTGAGTTCATCCCCTTCCTCACCCGTGTGCTGATCTGAAACGCTCTTCGAGGGGATTATGAGCCGCGCAAACGTTCCGACTTAGATTTTTTGGTCCTCAGTCGCAATGTTGCTGGATGTGATCAATTGATAACGAAGAGAAGTTGAGACTTCAGCTATCATGCGATGTACAGAGTCGAATCGATTATTTAAAGGTAAGGTACTTGAGCCGGAGATTGACAGAGGAGGTCGTAACTGTCGCGAATCATATATGACCTGTCAATTAAAACACTAGATCGGCAGAAGTGTTCGAAATTAGCTCTGGCACTCGACGCAGAGCTTGGGACGAATTCCGTGGGGTTTAGCACCGTTCTTCTTGATTAGGAAATCGGTGAGCGGAGATCGGAGGGGAGTCTGTTGAGTCTATACGACCCTTTGGTGGCAGCAGAAGGTTACTTGTACGCCAGACATTGAAGGATACAGCTATATCAGGTGTATAGTCGCGATGGACCGATGACATGCGATGTTGTCTTCGCAGTATACTCTCTTTCACATGCATGCATTGATACTTCCAAGTCCAATCGCCTGCATGAGCAACCATTAAGTGGTAACGACTCCACAGCCCGAGTCCACACGGGCAAACCCCGTAATTCGAAGCTACCGGGACATTTTGGACGGATCCAAGCGTTCCTCGGCTGTTGAAAATTGAGGCCTGAGGCTGCAAACTTCGGAAAGGGCGAATGGAAAGTCACGTGCGTTTAGTGATCAACGCGTGTCGAGCGCGTCTCGCGTGATGTTCGTGAAAGTGGTCGATATTGGAGTCTCGACGGTATCTCTACAGACTACCATTTGAACACAATAATCGCGCACAGATAGATTCGGATGTCATTCCGGACTGCAAGTCAAAATGATTCGGCAAGATTTTCAGAAAATTGATCCAAAGAGAAGAGCGACCTTGGACCACAAGAAAAAGCAGTTCGCATCGCCAGTATACAAGCAGCAAGATTACCCGCACCGTCTGAATTTCTACGATATTCCCCCAACCGCAGAAATCACACTCGAGCAGTTTGAGCAATGGGCCATCGATAGACTCAAGGGTATAAATGGTGATATCTGTTAATGTGATGCGTACATCTGCTCATAGTTCTGTCCAGTATTGGCCGAAATCGAAGCCTGTTCCTACCGAAACAAGTCGGCTGCGGAGACAGCGGCGCATATCACTCCTCTCCTGCAGAAATATCTCCCACTTTCCTCCAATACATCCTCTTCCTCCGGCGCGTCGGATCAGCGTCTAAAAAATGAACGCCAGAAAGATCATTATTCCCACTTCATCCTTCGCCTTGCGTTTTCGGCAACCGAGGACCTCCGCCGACGCTTCGTGCGGGCGGAGACAATGCTGTTCAGATTTCGGTTTCAACAAGATGACTCGCGAGAGAAACGTGCATTTATTGAGTCCTTAAATCTGGATTGGGAGCCTGTGAGTGACGAGGAGAGACGCGAGGTTGCTGAGAAATTGGTGAGCGCGACACCCGGTCTGCGGCGTGTTGATGAGGAGACTTGGTATAAAGTGGACTGGGAGCGAGTTCCAGAGCTTGTGGAAAGGAGAGCTGTGCTTCTGTCCAAGGGGAAAGCATATGTGCCTGGCAGAGAACAATTGAGTATGATCATAGCCGAATTCACGGCACGATTGGAGCGCGCCCTCGAGGTATGAGTCTTCTTTACACTGCACTGTGGGTTTTATGAGTTGGCTGACCACTACCAGCTCACGAGCCGGGCTCTTCCACGATTGGATGAGGATGATCGTCTTACACCAATCCTGAATCACCTGTCGAAGAACTTCGGTAGCGCAGAATCAGTATACTCGGAAGGCGAAGGGTTTGTTGAAGGAGCACCAATTACTGCCAGTAACATCGATCGCCTTTCGCAGCACTTCCCTCTCTGCATGCGGAGTCTACACATGACGTTGCGCAAGAACAACCACTTGAAGCACTTCGGTCGACTTCAATATACGCTCTTCCTGAAAGGAATCGGCCTGTCTCTTGAAGAGTGTATCATTTTCTGGCGACAGTCCTTCAAAGGCTTTACAGACGACGAGTTTAATTCTCGGTACAAATACAATATCCGCCACGCTTATGGTGACGTCGGGGGTGACGTGAATCGAAGAGGTCGGGGATATCCTCCTTACTCTTGCCAAAAGATCCTCAACGACTCCAACCCCGGAGTTGGCCAGACTCATGGGTGTCCCTACCGTCACTTCTCCGTCGATAATCTCATCGGACTACTTCAGTCCACAGGTGTCCATGACAAGGACGTTCTACGAGGCGTGCGCGAGGATGTTGAAAAGACACGCTATCATATTGCTTGCAACAGGGTCTTTGAATGGGCGCACAAAGCGGATATCAAGCGAGTCAAGGAAGACGGTACTTGGAGTCAGACAGATTTGGACACCATAGTCCATCCGAACACCTACTTCAAGCGCAGCTATCTCCTGAAACAAATGGGGAAGCCTCCCAAGGACGCATAAGTTGCAGAGACGGTTTGACGAAGCTATGCTTTTCTATCTTTGTGGCCAGGTTCTTTTTCTCATGAGGCGTTCTGGTTATGGGAATTGCAGGACGCAACATCCGGATTATATGTTGAGAATGCCAAGTATCAAAACAGTCAAAGTATTCTGTGCAGGGATTTCCGCATTACTACTGTATATAGCTTAGGTCTCTACAGAGCAAATTGTACGAGGTCATTTGTAACCACAGCTGATTCCCAGATTATCGCAAAGGATCGGAACGACCTTTCAAAGCTAGGTGCCCAGCGTCGGGTAAGGTCAGTCTTCGCGCGACGCGAAAACAGCTTCATCATGACAAGAGACAGAAGCTGTTGATGTATGTTATCGGCGGTTGTTGATGAGAAGAAGAAGAAAAAAAATGTTGCGGGAAGCGGGCAGTCCGGAAGTATTTAAAGCAGTGAAGGCGGAGCGCTAGTGGACGCTACGGCTGTCGGCAGCAACCAAGGATGCTGCAACCTGGCCTCATGCCAACAGGACCAGCTACACACAACATACATCCCCAGATCCACATCTAGATCCCGGACAAAAGCTGTTGGCGTCGGTCACTTGAAGATAAGATTATGCTACAGAAATTTGTTCTCACTATATAGTCGAAGTGATCATAGAGTTCCTTGTTTGGTCCGCAGTTTTGGGCTCAATCGATAAACACCCCCTCCTATCCACCCCCCCATCACCGCACGATGGACTACGAAGCGTTGAAGGATCAATGGAGCGATGTCGAAGACCGTGATGGCATCAGGCTCAGCTGGAACACGTTTCCTAGCACTCGCATGGTTGGTTTACTGGGATTGCCTCGCGTCCATGCGCCTTTGTACTCATTCACGTTCGCATACAGGAAGCGTCCCGACTTGTTGTCCCTATTGCCGCTGTTTACACTCCCCTGAAGGAGAAGCCCGATTCGCCGTTACTACAATATGAGCCGGTAACTTGCAAAGCACCCTGTCGGGCTGTCCTGAACCCCTACGCGTATGACCTACGCCCCTGTCGGCTCTGAGCTTGCAGCGCGTGACTGACGAAGGACAGCAACGTCGATGTTCGGGCCCGGATCTGGATTTGCCCTTTCTGCCTCATGCGCAATCCCCTTCCCCCTCACTATAAGGACATCACTGAGAATGCGATACCCCCGGAACTGCACCCTCAGAGCACGACAATCGAATACCAATTGGCGCGCCCCGCTCCCGCTCCCCCTATCTTTGTCTACGTCGTCGATACTTGTCAAGAGGAAGACAGTCTGAAGGCTTTGAAGGATACTCTGATTCTGAGCTTGTCTTTGCTGCCGCCGAATGCTCTGGTTGGATTGATCACTTATGGCACAATGGTACGAGCCGAATACCTTTCTTTGGTTTCGGATGACCTATTAACCTCAAGAGTACAGGCCCAAGTTCACGAGCTTGGATATACTGAATGTGCGAAGTCGTACGTTTTCAGAGGCAGCAAGGAGTATGCGGCGAAGCAGGTCCAGGAGATGCTCGGACTCCTCGCCGCTGGACCTCGTCCAAACATGCCGCAGCAACCAGCTCGCCCGCCTGTTGGTCCCGCTGCGCGCTTCCTGCTACCCGTTCAGCAAGCCGAGTTCCAGATCACCAATGTCCTCGAACAGCTGCAGCGTGATCCTTGGCCCGTTGCCAACGACAAGCGACCCCTCAGATGCACTGGTGTGGCTCTGAGTGTTGCTGTTGGCCTGCTCGAGACATCCTTCCAGAACGCTGGTGGGCGCATTATGGTTTTCACCAGCGGTCCCGCTACGGAAGGCCCCGGTCACGTCGTTGGACCTGAGCTGAAGGAGCCAATGCGTTCCCACCACGATATCGACCGGGATAATATCAAGTACTACAAGAAGGCTGTCAAGGTAGGCGTCATTTCGTCTTCTCATACGGGCTGCTCCCATGCTGATCAATTTAGTTCTACGACGCCCTGGCCAAGCGCGCGGCTAACAACGGACATGTTGTCGACATTTTTGCCGGCTGCCTTGACCAAGTCGGTCTTCTGGAAATGAAGAACCTGGCCAACTTCACTGGAGGTCATATGCTCCTTACAGACAGCTTCACGTCGTCACAGTTCAAGCAGTCGTTTGTTCGGGTTTTCGATAAGGACGCCAACGATAACCTCCTCATGGGCTTCAACGCCTCTCTTGAAGTCCTGACCACAAAGGAGCTCAAGGTCACTGGACTTATCGGTCATGCAGTTTCTCTGAACAAAAAGTCAAGTTCGGTCGGAGAAACAGAGTGCGGTATTGGCAACACCTGTGCCTGGAAAATGTGCGGCATTGATCCGTCCTCAAGTTACGGCGTGTACTTCGAGATTGCCAACCAGGGCGGTCCTGCAGCCGTGCAACCAGGCCCTCAGCGGGGTATGATGCAATTCTTGACCTACTACCAGCACGCTTCTGGTCATTATCATCTCCGAGTCACAACTGTTGCACGCCCCTTGAGTGGCCCAACCGGTGACCCGACTCTCGCACAGTCCTTTGATCAGGAGGCTGCTGCCGTGCTGATGGCACGTATTGCTGTCTACAAGGCAGATGTCGACGATGGACCAGACGTTATCAGATGGGTTGATCGCATGCTCATCAGACTCTGCTCTCGCTTCGCGGACTACCGGAAGGATGACCCAACCTCGTTCCGCCTGGAAAAGAACTTCACGCTTTATCCCCAATTCATGTTCCACCTCCGTCGCAGCCAGTTCTTGCAGGTGTTCAACAACTCGCCTGACGAGACAGCTTTCTACAGACACGTCCTCAACCATGAAGATGTTGGCGACGCCCTTGTAATGATTCAGCCCACGCTGGATTCGTATTCTCTGGAACATGAGGGAAGCCAGCCTGTTCTTCTCGACTCGGCTTCAATCCAGCCCACTCACATCCTTCTCCTCGACACTTTCTTCCATATCCTAATTTTCCACGGAGAGACCATTGCCGAATGGAGGAAAGCAGGCTATCAGGATCAGGAAGGTTATGAAAACCTGAAGGCTCTCTTGGAGCAGCCTAAGGAGGATGCTAGGGTTGGTCCATCCACTGCAGTTATAATACGAGGCACAAGCTAACTTCATGAATAGGAATTGATCGCTGACCGTTTCCCACTGCCTCGTTTCATCGTCTGTGACGCCGGCGGATCTCAAGCGCGTTTCCTCTTGTCCAAGTTGAACCCCTCTACTACACATACGACAGGAGGTTACGGTGGAGGCGTGACGTCGCAGACTATCTTCACTGATGATGTCTCGTTGCAGACGTTCATGGATCATTTGATGAAGTATGCTATCCCAACATGTTTTACAATTGTCATGAATGATGCTAACCCACCAATCTAGACTTGCGGTTTCCGGAACTACCTAGACATGACGAGGTGATGGCCATAGCGAGAGAAAAAGGGCGGTTAGACGTCGGTCCTCGGGTCACTTGTATCTTTAGCGATGATTTGTCCTGGTTTTTATTTTCCTGCTCTTTACCCACAATATAGCAAGTGCGTAAGTCAATGGTGCTCATTCCAATAACAATAGACGGTATCGACAAGGATATCTACATACAGCGTCTGGGAAAGATCGCGAATGCATGGACACCATTAAGTACGGTAGAGGTCATGTGATCATGGTGGGGTTAGCCCTAGGAGCTTTCCCCGTTCGAGATTTCGCTTAGCCGGAGGTGCGGGCCAAGCTAAAATGTCCTCAACTTCTTAAGGAAATTTTGTGAACTTCTATTTTGCTTCTTCGTACCATCCACCCCGACCAACACTCCAAGGACGATTGACGACCTTTCGCACTCGCCATGCGTAAGTATCATCTCCTTGGCTATAACAAAAATGGCGACTAACATAACACCCATTGGGCAGCTCCCAAGTTCGATCCCAATGAGGTGAAGATCATGTAAGTTCATCTTGTCTTCGCGTCGCAAAATTCTGCAGCGACAGAGCTAACCGTTATATAGTCACCTGAGAGTGACTGGTGGTGAGGTCGGAGCCCAGTCCGCTCTGGCTCCCAAGATTGGTCCTCTCGGTCTGTCCCCCAAGAAGATCGGTGAAGATATTGCCAAGAACACTGGTGACTGGGTAAGAATTCAAAAGGAATCGAAAGATGAAGAGTAACCGGATCGCTAATATGAATGTTTTGCGACTTTATAGAAGGGTCTCCGTGTGACTGTCAAGCTCACCATCCAGAACCGTCAGGCTACGGTCTCTGTCGTGCCTTCCGCTTCCTCTCTGGTCATTAAGGCCCTCAAGGAGCCTCCTCGTGACCGCAAGAAGGAGAAGAACATCAAGCACAACAAGTCCATCCCCTTCGACGAGATCGTTGAGATTGCTCGCAAGATGCGTCACCGCTCTCTCGCCAAGGAGCTCCGTGGTACCGTCCTTGAGATCCTCGGTACCGCTTTCTCCGTCGGTTGCCAGGTCGATGGCCGCAGCCCCAAGGATGTCTCTGACGACGTCAAGGCTGGCGAGATCGATGGTAAGTCCTGTTGAGTACACTGTTAGCCGAAGTTGAACTAATGTTGGAATTAGTTCCTGAGGAATAAATGATCTAAAAGTGCGGCGGTCGTCAATTCGGTTTGTAACGACATGCTAGTTACAGAAAATATCATCATTTCCCCTGGACAAAAACGTTTTACGAGTTATGACCTAAGATCCCCAATTATGTTCGTCTCAGAAATCCTATGCTTTTTCGCTAGGCAGTCCGTCCCTTCTCTCCATTCCTGCTCTATGCTTCTCGTGGTTTGCTTGCTTTCCCAAATGCGAGCCGGATCATGATGTCGCGTCCCTTCAGATGACCTTTGCAACACTCTGGCTCTTACCGTTCTTTCCCGCCTTCGGGCCTGGATTGAACTCACGCAACGTGGTATAGGCTTATTTTACGCAAAGAAGATCAACACTTGACCCTCTACTCACCGCGGTATCCTTGGAGGGGAGCTTGCTTCTCTCCGTGGGTACAGTGGTCCATCTTTTGGGTCGACATCACTGCCGTAGACCCGGGTTCGTACCTGGTACGTAGTCTTTGGTTAGGTCATCAACTGCAATACACTATACGCTTTGTTTCAATCTGTTCTTTCTTTTCTTTGTAAGTCCTCGAAATAGTAAATACCAGAATCCCAAGGTTTGTTTTTGACAAGACCGAATTAGATGATGAACGACGGTAGTTTTCTGGCGTCACAAACCATTTACACCGACTAGGATGCGGATTTTGATCTCCCTCTATCCCCAGAGAGCTACATAGTACGTCTCGACGATCGCTGCAGAGACAATGACTGCGCATGGAGATGCATGGATCCCTGTCTTCCCTTCTCACTTCAGCGATGGAGGAGTGTCGATTACAACCAACGTGCTTCCCAACGGAGACTCTTACAGTCATAAGCTGTGTTAGTCGAGATGCGATTGTCGTCTTAAAGGAGCACAACATCGATAGTGTGGCGCCTGTGCGGTCCATCTAGAGCTGAGAATATATAATGCCAAGCAGTTACACAAAAGTTTAGAAGAACCCTTCAGCTTGCGAGTGACATTCCAGGGGTGGGTGGGAATGTAGCAGTGGGGTCGATGCAGATTTATCTTGATTCTGGAAGAGCAACGGTGAAGGATCAAAGAAACTAACTGACAAGATGACGGTGAGAATGACTGTAGAACCTTGAGGCTTGTGCAGTGGTAACTTTAGTAGTTTTTTTCCTTTTTAATTATATCGATGCAGCTGAGGTTGCCGATTGGTCTGATTGTCGATACTTCGATACTTGTGACATTGTTGATCACTGCATTAGACGGTCTGCCACTGTTCCTGCCAGCGGGGCGCTGTTCCATCCTTTGAGATAGATCCTGCTCTGGGCAGTTTTGGACTTTTCCGTCAGTGTTTTTCGTTTGTCTTTTTGATTATTTTTATCAAAAGATTCGAGTCAGGTGAGAATGAATTTATCCTCATACGCAGCCTTCGACTATTGGATAGTGGGGATGGGGCTGCAGCCGCTCCACCTGGTATGCGGTTTTGAGTTGGACCGGTGGACAGGGTCGGAAATTGGGTTTTTTTGTCTCCAAGCAAAATCATAGCATGTGGTGCGTACACACTCTTCCCATTGACCATAATCTATTATCATTGTTCTTCTTTTATTATTAATCTTGCACCTGTCTGATCGCCAGTAATGAGCAGGGAAAATGCGGCAATTACAGTAGTGTATTATATCGCAGGGATTGTGCTCAAAAAATATAAGTTGGAAAAGAATAAAATGTAAAAAGAGAATAAAAAGACTTATGCCAACGAGATAGTTAGACCATTATGGTGAAGTGTCAGCCGTCATTGGTGAAATGGTAATAGTGCTGATCCCCCATACTCCTTGGGAGGCCTTCGTATGTCTCATTATTTGACTTGCTACCGCGATGGCATGTGCGTCTCTCAGCCTCTGGATGCGGTTTGTGCGGTTTGTGCGGTTTGTGGCTGCAGGGAAGAGACCAGCCAGATGAGGCGCCATCAGCCGCTGGAATCTTAGCCTCGTCTCATGTTTTTGCTTTCTCCTTTCTTCCAGACACTTGGTATATAATTTTGAATGAGATCTACACTCTCCAGAGTCGAGATGATGACTCAACCCACCATCATGTACCAATCTACATACCACATGCCAACACAGTAGTGACGATGAATATACAAGCGTCAAGCAGAGGCCAGGTTGCAACCATCAGCTTTTTCTGTCTCCACTGCAAACCCACAGAAAGTGCCAGATCGCCCTTCCGCTGACCAACGGGCCAACAGAATCCTCCCAAGGCTTGATCCCAGCGGGCGCCACTTGGCCGGGGGTCGGCTGGGCGGTGCGGGACTGTCTCTGCCTAGCGCTCAAGGGCCGTTGGATCGCAGAAAGGTGGATCCACTCGAGATGCTTTCATTTTTGTCGCTCGTTTCCCATCCCTTTTCCGGTGGATTATTACATCGGTACCTCTGACCCTGGAGATAATGTCATGAGAAAGAAGGAGACATGAGGGTATGTCTATTCGAAACAAAGGTATTCATATATGAAATGGTATTTGGAAGACTACTATTACTGCGCATGTACGTACTATAATGTAGCGCCTAAGGCTCATCTCCCAACTCAGGAATTCCCTCTACCATTGGCTCCACTTCCGCTGCCCCCATTCGCCATATCACAGCATCACCATCCACCTTTCCAGACTATCTATCTAATAAACACATAAACACCTAGACTCCTCTGCTCCAAGCAGTGACTTGATCATGGTGATAAGTCATTTTAGACATAAGTACCTATGTAGTTCCCATAGGGAGATTTACTAAGCTGATAATAGAGTGGTCGCAGGCCACAGATACACGGACACATCAATTACGTACTATTACAGTCTCCAGACCGGTAGCCACTGCATTTGTTTGAAGCTCCGCCCTTGTTCTGGGTCCATAATAAAGTGATCCTGATTCTGATACTCCATAGTAGCAGTAGCTCCATCGTACTAGTGGACTCCAGACTCCAGTAGACTATCATCGCCATCTCCATCGATGATTATCCTCCTGCATCTTTAAGGTTCTTTCGCTCTTTTCTTTGTCCTTCGCTTCTTTTGGATCTGCGCGCATTTGACGGACGTGTTTCCCGTCCTTGTCCCTTTTCTTTCTTTCCTTTGCTTACCCCAGACTTTTTGTTCTTCTTCCTGGTTTCAAAGTTCCTCTTCTTCCCGCCCCTCCAACCTTCTCCGTACTCCGTACTCTCTCGACATCATCTGTCCGCCAGCCGTTGAATCCTCGCCTCCGCGCCCGCTCTCCCCTGCTTCCGCTTCTCGATTGGCAAAAGTTGCGCCCGTGAATAAATCTTATCGAAAGAATAGAGAGGAAGGAGGACGCACGTCGCCGGATATTAATGCTCGTCTCTGACAATAAAGCTTCTGGTTTTTTCATCCTCGTTTAGTTGTCATTTAACCTTCGTCCAGCTACTACCGCGGACTCGTCTCTTATTTCTTTTCATTCCTTTTCATTTTCCTCCACATCACAATTCTTTCGCGCCGACTCAGCATTTTTGCCAAGATCAATCACGGCTTGTCCTTCTCCAGTCGGTGTCGATCGCGTCTCACGGACACCTGCGTCAGTGTGGGTGCTCTCGGGAAGCTGACTAGGACTGTGACTCTTTTTGAGTTCCTTTCCTCCCTTGCGTTTGTTCTTCACGGCCACATAGCACCTAGCCACATCCGATTTATTCGCCTTCCTATCTGTCCGTTGGACCCGAGCGACTCTTCTTCGTGAATGCTAGCCTCGATCAGACATCCTTCCTCTCTGATCATTCCTCCACGCTCCTTGGCCGCCCTGCCCGATATCAGATCATCGTCATTATCGCCTATCAACAGCTTTCATGT